AGTGTTTTTTTGCTTGCAGGTGTTAATGTCCACACAGTTTGGGAATTTCACTGGTTGCACTTTGACAGTATGTTTAGGTTATGTCTCCACTCTTCTTTATATAAACAAATCGTTGTATATTGGTCACATCCGAATTGCTATGTAGCATATGAAATAACAATATTCATGTATTAATTCATTGTAAAAAATATTTAATAAGTAAGAAATACAGTTTCTCGTCAGATTAAAATATCAGGCCAAAACACCAATGTCTTCATAAAGATATTGCTGGAGAACTATCGATATTTTTCAGTGATATACAATCGATTTGGTTCCATATTACTAATATAATTCAATATTATATATAAATATTGTATAATTTGATATAAATATTTTATAGTATTAATTTCATATTAATATTTTACAATATTGATTTATTAATTAATATTAATTGGATATTTTATATATTAATAATATATAAATTAAGTACTTTGCTGTATTTGGTTTTGACTTAATGTATGACACCAACTGACTTTGTCTCTGAACAGAAAGCCCTTTCAGATGAGGTACTCAATTCAGTTTCAAATTTGACTATAGCTTGACTATGTTGAACTGTAGCTCTAGTTAGCGCCTATAATCGACCATAGTGTAAATGGATTAATGCAGGTAGGAAAAAGATGATTCTGTACAGTAATCAGCGACCGATAGTACAAAGAAATAATATCATATGAATCACGTCTCCCCCCTTATGCTACATTACCTGTACTTATAGTCAGTAAAGTTAGCGTCCATAATCAACGGCAGTACAAAAGGTTTTATGAGAAGAAATAAAGCATATTCCCGTATTAAAATTACTGGCGGACGTAAGGAAAATGTACTATATATTTTAATTAATGACTATACTGTCGGTACGGCACTTAAATTGCAGCCTACAAGTCAACCCAACACTTCGGTCATCTAGATGGTGGCGTTTTGTTGGGGTAGCATCTTGACGACAACCCCTTACTATTAGAGGAAAGTTAAACATTTTGTCTTCTCAGTTTTTTAATTGTAATTCACTTTATTATTGAATTCTTTCTATTTTTTAAAATGAATTATGTCCGTACGAATGAATTTTAGGGAAACGGAATCTATCGGGAAAATGCAGCCGTTCGGTTCTAAAGAAAATGTTAGGATGATGTAGATGTTGAAACGCTTTGTCAACCAGGGCCGTCCCTAGGGTTGTCAGCGTCCGGGGAAAATGTAGTCGCGGTGCCCCCTCCTCCTCACTACTAGTCGCATTCGCATATGTTAGCTTCATACTACATTACGTTTACATTTTGATTACACCTATAGTATTACAAATTATTATTAACTACAGCCTCATTTTTCAGATTCGTATTTATTAACGCCATAATCTGATAACCTTAACAATTAATGAAAACCTACAATACCACAAACAAAATCTGCTCCGGCGCCCGGGTCAACTTGCCCCGGTTGCCCCCCCCCCCCTTCGGACGGCCCTGTGTCTAGCTGTGGTTCATAATTGTTGATTAAGCTCTTTTTTATGTCACAGGTGAGACAACAACGTTAGATAAACATTAAACCTTATAAATGTTAATTTAACAAGATTCACTGCCCATTAGGATTCAATTTTCATAAAATTTATTATATTTCTATTCTAGAATGGTTTATTTCACCTTTCCAATATTTATGTCGTGATATTATGTCGTGGCCCCTAGATCACCAGATTTTAGCGAGTGTAAATTTCTTCTGTGAGGCGTTCTCAAACTTAGCATCTACACTCACAAACCCCGTACTTAAGAACGCAATTAACCAGAAAGTATAGACAATTAATGATGGCCATTTAATTAATGATGGGACTTGTAATGGAAAAATTTAATAAGACAGGGATAAAAACTGTACTGACTAATTTTGTCACAACTTAGTGCATTTAATCAATCATCTTAGTACAACCGAAAGACCGAAAACTCGTCCAGTCTCGGGGGTTTGTGCAAACTATCCTGTTGCGTTGTGCGGTTGTTTAGAATCCACTAGAAATGTTTGATGTTGATAAGTTTATCGAAAATGTTCATGGCCAGCTATCCCTGTGGGACAAACAGACATAATAATATTATGATAGCATAGAATAGCATTCCTAAAATGCGTGTTTATTTTTGTTATCTGATGCCTCATGATCTGAAGAAGCTCATCGAATGACTGGACTGACATACGATAGTATAAAAACGTTCACGACAAAAAGGATGAATCCAATGACTTGTATTATTTGTTCTTAGTAAACCACTTTCTTTCTATTACACGCACAAGTTTTATTAATAATATAAAAGGATTACCTCATCCAACCACAGTTGCTGGTATGACGACTAGTTTCGTTCCTTAGAACTTCGTCAAGTCATTGTATGCAACCACATAATCAATGTATTAACATTGTGGTATGTCAAAAGATTCTTTAAAATACTGTCAAAATCACAATAGTCAAAACTAGTCATGTTGATCAAATTATAAAAAAAGAATAAAAAGTGATAAAACTGGTTAAAACTGTAAAGTCTGGCCAGCACTGTCTATTCACTTGCAAATTGATGCAAATGGATCCTGCAAATTGTTTTTTTTTTTTTTTTTTTTACTTACTAAATACCATATTGAATAATATATGTAACATTTAAATGTGCCTGAAAAATATAGAAAATATATACGTCTAATAACACTTGCAATAATATATTTACACTTATACTGTTGACTTACAAGACGGTAAATACATGTAAAAGTTGGTAAGTGGTGATCGATTTCGATTGGATCACAACTTACCAACTTTTACATGTATTTACCGTCTTGTAAGTCAACAGTATAAGTGTAAATATATTATTGCAAGTGTTATTAGACGTATATATTTTCTGTATTTTTCACGTAATTTAATAACATGTACGATGCTAATCAATAAGTTATTCATTTAAATGTGATAATGATTTATTATATCACACACTCATTATATTTATTTTGAATGAATGAATGAATTATATATTAATTCCAAAAAAGTGTTTACAAATATTGTACACACATATTTAATGGAGAAGAAAAACATAAATGAGAAATGAACTGTATAAATTAAATTAACTGTTTTATCTAATTCTATTTGATCAAATAGAAAAAATAAATAAATTAAAGAAGATGGGTGAAAATGAGCTAAATGGATCACAAGAACAAATAGTGAAATAAATAACTATGAAAAAAATATTAGGTGGCATAAAAAGTCAAAAAAATAACATTTATACCAAATAAATAAATATATATAAATGATAATATGCTATTTTTAACCAAACTGTAAGAATTATTTAAATAGTTGATTGGGTTATTAATTTATTATGAAATGTTGTTCAAGGAGTATTCTATATCAGGAGATTGGGAAGCCAAACACTCAAGTCCCATTGCTAGTAGCCGCCAGCAGCTTTCCTTGTTCACCAAAAAGTCTGTAGGAGCGCCACTAGTCAGACATCACTAAGTCCACACAGTTAATGTATTTCCTGTGAAAATTGTGTGGACGTGTGTGATGTCCACATAAGCGACCAGGTCCACACAGTCTGGTCACATTCACACTCATATCCCCACAGCTTATGCAGCACGAAAGCACACACACACACACACACACACACATATATATATGATAACTCGAGCAAAAATGATCCGATTTTGATGAAATTTGGTATAAACGTGTAAACCTACATTAACGAGTTCGCGAACCAGCATGATAAATTTCATATATACTGTATAGCCTATGTGTGTGGGTGTCCGGACGATAACTTGGGCAATTTTGTCCGATTTTGATAAAATTTTGTTTGAAGGTGTAAGGTGGGATAAACTTGAATGAGTTATCAGCATGATCGGCCCACGGGAACTGGGTTTAACGGGGGGTTTTATGGGGTGAAAATGGGTTTTTCTCATTTTTTATCCTTAAAACACAAAATTATCAATTTTTCTCACGACCTTTTTAAAGAGCTTAAAAAAAATAATTTAGTAAAAGTGTTTTGTACGGTGATTGGTTACGGAGAAAATTCAAAAAAGTGTTATTTAAAATTCCTATGTTATTCTTATGGAGAATATTGAAAAATGTTGTCTTGTTTAGGCATATATTTTTATAAATGTTGGCGGATTGCTTTATTTCATACTAAGCTATTGATATTTTAATAAAAAACACACTTTATTAGTTTCCCTGTATTAGCTAACCTAGGTACTCGTTAAACACAAATGTTAATTTAATAGATTAATAATTGAAAATCAATCCAGGCGCATATGGATATTCGCTTAGTCGGCAGGTTTGCTGCAGCGGGGGTATTATATTATCAGCAGAGGTTAGCCTATGACAGTTTTTATAATGAAGATGTTAACATTAATTTTATAGTTAAAAAGTTAATTTTATAACTACAAAATTATAAAATAAATTTAAAGTTTTTCTTTACGTGAAGGGCTCTCCCACAATACCCCACTCCTTCGCAGAAGTTTTCATTAGTTCCGGACGAGGATAATCAGACGCTAGTCAGCTCAGCAGACAGACCATTCATTCAGTTGAGTGTGGTTGAGTTCAGACTTCAGATTCATTCGTCTGAAGTGACTGGCTGACTCATGGTCTGCTGACTTGAGTGAGCTTTGAGCTTGCTCTAGCTTGAGTCTGACTCGGACTTCGGACTCCGACTCCAGTCTTTACCTTTTACCTTTTACCTTCGATGTCTTCACCACAATCCGTAGATCGGGGAATCGTCATAGTTCTTCCGTCTGGACGGGATTTTTCTGTATATTCACGAAGTGAGCTGGCGTATGTGTGTGTAAGAATGTTCCTCTATGTACTCGTTTATGTTGTAATATGGTCTATTGGTGAGGTATTTTTTTAAGTGTTGGACAAATGTTTGACTTGAGTCTGTTTGACAAAAGTCTGACTGAGGACTGAGTCACGTCACACTTTGACACTGATAAGAAGTCCGACTAGTCACTAGTCTGAGTCTGAGTCTCTCTCTGAAGCTGATAGCTGAAGTAGAAGTGAAGTGAAGAAGGAAGGACCGAAAGAAGGAGGGTAGAGGAGGAAGGAAACGATTAGGCTAAAGTTTATTTGCACTAATTTTTATAATCTATATTCCACATCAGCTTCTTACAGTGCTGTCTATTATCATTCATCCTTGCGTTTGATTGAAAATTAGTTTGCAACAATGAATATGTCAACCATGCCTTCTCGTGAATTTCTCTGGGACATTTTTCAGAAGTAAGTTGCCATAACCTAAGTGAAGTTAGGCCTAAGTCAGACCTCGGATTGATAATAATTAGCATAATTAAACCAGGGTAGGCCTTCTTCAGTTTCTTAACTGGGCTATGCTAATACTGATTGAAACTATCGATTCGATTAGTAAACCTTCATGCGATTTTTCCCCATCAGCAAGTTTGGTTGGTTAGGTTAGGTTATGATTAGTTTTATTTTATAATAGACTAGCTGGCCCGACAGACGTCGTCCTGTCCTATTGTGGTTTTATGTCACATGCTCGTTCATTTTCAAGATGAGCTCGTTCGCATGGCTCAATCACGTCCTGGTTGAAGTTCGTTCGCTACGCTCATTCACCTTTAGGTTGGAGCTCGTTCGCTGCGCTCACTTGCCTTCAGGTTAGCTCGTTCGCTACGCTAACTCACCTCCAGGTTGAAGTTCGTTCGCTACGCTCAACTGTTCTCATAAATTAAAAATAAATATAGTGCTGGTAAACTTATTAACTTTTTAATGCTATTGAACATTACAGAATCAAATTGTTTAGTTGCACCAGCTGTTAAGATTCTTTAATTCCATTTAAATATGAGTACTCATAAGGTTAACATGGGAAACTCCAGAGCCACTGGGACGGAGCCCTATTGACGGATCTGCACCAAACTTCACACAAACCATCCTTGAATAATGCTTAATAATGCCTGAAAGTTTCATTACAATCTGACGAGCGGTTTTGTAGTCCATAAAGGACAAACATATAAATATACAAACATACATTGGATTTTATAGATAGCCTAATCAATATTTTCAATTCGATAAGCTTAGTTTCAATTAATATTAGCATAGCCCAGTTGAGAAACTGTACCCATACTTTTTAGTTTACGGTAAGTTACCTCATGACTGAACTGAGTAATAATTGTGAGTTAAGTAAACATCAGCGTGAAACTGGCAATAGATCAGCAATAACCCCTCCCACTTCTCCTACCTCCCCTCCTACAAATATACAACACAGTAAAAGGTCGATCCACGCACATCAGTTACGGTTCGTCACAGTCCAGTCACTTCAGGCACGTCGCAGTTAACAAAAATATTCTTTAAGTTAATGAATGTTCTTTTGAGCTATCTACATTCATCCGTTGCAGTTCTGTCAGTCGCTCTCCTGGCGTCCGTCAGTCAATTTCAGATTTCTTGTGAATGATAGTTTTGGATTGTTCGGACGCCTGACAGACGTGTTTGAGGCTAGAAAATAGTACATTTTTTTATTTAAATGATCGAGTTTATATTTTAGGTAGGTAATGATTGTAACAATCAACAAGACAGACGATGAAAATTTGGTAGAATATTGTGTTTTAATTAAACAGTTTTGACTGTAACAACACTGTAAATAAACCTTAGGCTATAAGTTAGTAAGCTATAATTATTTGTACCTACACTCGTTGCTAGTTGGTTGAAATGTGTCAGAATATTACAATAAGTTGCTGTTGCTGGCGTTGGTGCGACCACGGTTCCATAAGAACCCAATTTACTAAAAATACATTTTTTTTTCGTTTAGTTAGGTAGGTACTTCTTAATAGGTAGCTTACCTAATTTTCACCATTTTGATAAAAGTATCAGTCTTTATCAATTTAAAGCATTATTTAAAGTCTGCCTCAAGAAAATAATAAATCACCATAATTCTATACAGGCTATTAATACCGGTACTTAGGCTAAGCAGTTTTCTTTTCACAGTCATAACTCGATAACGGCTTCATGGATTTTATTAACGTTTGAGGTATCAAATTAAAGGTATTTTCACGTAGATGTGCAAATACGTCTCAGAACATTAAGAAAGGGCATCGGAACTTAAGTACAGTTAAGTGCTAAAGTTTGGAAACGGCAGCGCTATCTGTTGACATCAAACTCAATTCTCTTTGTGTACAACTAAACATATGGACGAATAGTTGAATTGATTTAGGTACCTTACATCGTATTTTTCTGAAATATTATGTAGGCTAAGGCCTACCGGTAGTTTTGGTTACAGTTCGGTGTGATGAAGTGAATTATTTAAAAGTGATTGTTTACAGGGCAGTTATTCATTATATACCAATTATCATGTAATTTACCATATGTATCGAAATTCCTTCATAGTGTTTTCTGTTGTTTGGCTAACTTTCAAATTTTATTTAAATTTCAAATTAAATGCCACCGTAAGATGAAGAACTGTGAGTGGCTGGAGGGAACGCGATCGTAACTAACCAACATGCATCAACCTTCCAATGGAACATTTTTGACAGGTACAGAGTGGCAGTACCGCCACCGTGGTGATACATCCAACCTTGGAGAAATGAAAATTAAATGTTTATTGTGGTGGCTTACATTTTAAGCAAGAAAAGTCTGGCCGCGACAGTTAAATATTTACTTTTTGTTCTAAATGGAAGGTTTGTTTTTATGAAATTATTGGAGCCTCCCAATCTGAAAACAGGGTTGTGAGACCAGCTATCCAGAAATTAGTTTGATGAAATTTGTCAATTCAATTCCGCCTTTGTCATGTTTAACTCCAAAGCTCATTAGATGAGAGGATCACGCAGGGGATCCACAATTTTCAACATCTATGACACGTTTTACCACCGAGTAGTTCCTCTAATTCTTCAAGAAGGTGATGATCCTAAATACGCACAGATATACAAGTACCCGACGTTGGCACTGGAACCACAGACCACAGAGTAAACATTACAGTATTCAAAAGTCTGTGCTGGAACCCAACAGAGCATGAAATTCAATTCAAACAAATAATGCAATAAAAAATATGTGGGAAATAGGGTCACAATACCAACCCATTTGCCCAATCTTTTAAGACTGTGGCAGAAATTTGTAGGGAGGAGAGTTCCGAGGAGTAAAGTGAGATTTTTATGTACTTAATAAGAGACAATACCCCCGCCGCAGCAAACCTGCAGACTAAGCGAATTTCCATTTGCTCGATTGGATTTACACAAAAATGTCTCCTTAAAAATACCTTATTTATTCCCTATTTAAATAATATTAATTTAACGAGTACTTAGGTTTGCTGCAACAGGGAGGGTAAAAATGTGTTTTAGCGAATTTCCCTATAGGGAAGTAGCTATTACCGTAGGTCTCATGGTAAGACCTAAGCCCGGGACCGATTTACTTTTTCATTTTGATGTCCCCAGAGGCCAAAAACACCATTCGTTCAAATTTTTATATATCTATATCTATATAAATAAAATTAGAGTTTTGTCTGTACTTTGCTCAGAATTATATACTTTTAGGTTATTTTTACGTTTTATACATTAAAGAAGCAGAAACGAGTCTTATCTCTATTTCTGTCTGTCTGTCTGTCTGTCTTTCCCTTTGTCTGTAACACTCAAGATGACATTTTACGCAATCTTCTCCGTGAAAACCAGAGTACCTATCAAGATCCAAGTCATTTTAATGTATTCACTGGATTGGCGAGAGTGTCTTTAGTGATTTAAATATAGCCTCACTACTTTGTAAATAAAATTACGGACGTTCAAAAATGCAGTTTTGTGCGATTTTTGTCAAATTTACGTTCAATTTTTATCACATTATCGTCTATGAAATAACGAACAGCTGTTCGGATCAAGATTATTTTTTCTAGCTGTCAATGATATGTTTACAAAATGTTGTTTACAAATACCGCAACCATTTCGAATCTCGTTTTGAAAGCAAATCCCAACCAAGTGAGATTAAAAACGTTTTTCTTACATAACGGATTTAATTAATCGCAAGTGCAATAATATAGTCTAATAGTGTAACCGTAAATGAAATTAAATAACTAGACATCGTCCAAATCGGAACCAGAAATTCTTTGAGTATAAAATGTTTCTTGAGTTTTGACAACCAGAAAGAAGACCTTGAATCAGTGTTGTATAGGGCTGGACACTGAAATGATCGTCGCCAATAGCTTACAAAAAAGGTTTCCATTCATTGACGGCGCTTCAATGGCGGTTGTGTAAAGTGTAAAGTAAAAAATCACAACTGCAGTGGGTGATTGTAACAGAGGTTTAACAGAGGAAGAGCTAAACTCGCTTTTCCAATGTGTCACTTTCTGTTTCTACTCACCGTGTGATGCAATCGTTGGACCATACAGCCAATAGGCCCATAGCTCATATCTTGGGTACGTAAGCCTACATATTTATTCATAACAACCTTTTTGACGACGATCCTTGAATCCGGTACTTTTACATAGAATACATGGCCTACCTACTTAAGAAATATAATTACAAATGACCAAAACACCAACATTGTGTGATTTTCGTCACATTTCCTTCTAATGTTAATAGATATACTAATCATTGTTTAGAGAATGCGTAATCTATTAAATAACAAAAAGTTGTTTGGGTAAGGTTGTTTTTTTTTCAAACTGACACCGATAAGTTTACGCTATAACTTTTTACGAGAAAATCCAAAAGCAAGAGATCAATAACCTCGGGACCGGGATTAGATATTAATGTATTTAATTGGTCGGATGTACTATAGTTCTTAGGTAGGTTCTTACGTAGGTACTGGTTCTTTTCCTTAGAACCGTTGGTAGCTGCTAGAATCATTTTTACGTAGTACCAACACATCACTGTAGTTTATAAATTAGTTATCGTTGGTGTTGCACCTTATTTATTAGAGCCGTCCGTATTCAATTTAAGTGATGTCTTAACTCTGTATAAGTTTTGCTTTTTCTGTCTGGATTCCAAATCTTAGCTTACCCGGTATGCTAAGAAAATGATAACCTATTTGAGTAAAACATTTGTTGGGCAAACCATCATGAATTGTTTACGCCTTTATATTGTTTATGTATCAATAGTTCGTGGCCTTTTTTGGATTGTTGTGTGTATGTCTGTTGGTAACGCATTAATGTCCTTGTTTCATGGAATGGACAAGAGCACCTTTGATACTGAAAATGTCAACCGGAATAAAGTGTTAAATGGTGAGGTTGAGGTAGTACTATAAATACGTTTAAGTTAACCGATGTGGAAAGTAACTTTCAATTATAGGCCTACTTTAGGGCTACCCTTCATGGATCTATAAAACATTTTTTAGTTTAATCATTGGACATATGGACCATAACGATCCGGGTGACATTTAATTGCGAAGCATTTATTTTGGCTTGAACTGTCAGATACTGTATTTGCGAAGGTTTATATATAATAGTTTTGCCAGCATATCTGCAAAAATATGCAAACTAACTGCTGTTCTTAATCTTAATATAAGAAGGTGTCAACTGACTACTATAAGATCCCCGTGCGTAGAACGGGCACACAGCTAGTATAGATATATATATATATATATATATATATATATATATATGTGTGTGTGTCCATCCGCACGATAACTTGAGTAATTTTTGTCCGATTTTGATGAAATTTGGTTTGAAGGTGTAAGGCGGGATAAACTTGAATGAGTTCGCGAACCAGCATGATCGGACTATGGGAACAATTTCTTTTTAAACCATTTTGTAGAGCTTAAAAAAACAAATAATTTAGTATATTGAAGCGTTATTATGCGCCTAATTGTTACGGAGAAAATTCAAAAAAATTGTAATTTTAAAATTCTCATGTTATTCTTATGGAGAATAAGTCAACTGTTGTAGTTTGCTTGTTTATGAACATATTTTGATCAAATTTGGAAAATACATTAATTTCTTACTAAACCACAGTACCTTTCACATTTTACATAAAAAAAACATTTTACCCTCCCTGTTGCAGCAAACCTAAGTACTCATTGAACTACAGTAATTCTGTTTAAACTTGGAATAGGCTAAATGTGATATTTTTAAGGAGACATTTTAGTTTAAATCCAATCAGGCAAATGGAAATTCGCTAAGTATGCAGGTTTGCTGCGACGGGGGTATTTGTTATTTGTTTTTTTTTTTTTTGTAAAATGTTAATAGTTTAGAATGAAATGAATGCCTTTTTCAAATTTAATCAAAGTATGTTCATTCTCAATAAGAATAACATGGAAATTTTAAATTTACAGTTTTTTGGAATTTTTTCCGTAACCATTTGGCGCATAATGACGCTTCAATATACTAAATTTTTTTGTATTTTAAGCTCTATAAAATGGTTTGGAAAGAAAATGTAAAATTTTAAGTTTTTAGGGTTAAAAATTGGAAAAACAAATTTTTACCCCATAAAACCCCCGATATACACCTGTTCCCATAGTTTGATCATGCTGCTTCGCGAACTTGTTCGAATAAACGTAGGTTTTTTAGTTTGTACCAAATTTCATCAAAATTGGATGAGTTTTGCTCAAGTTGTCGCGCTGACGGACACATATATAAATATATATATGTATATATGAATTTGAATGGATGGTGTTTTTGGCCAAAGCAGTATGAGAGTGGATAGGCCTATATATTTAAATATTGTAGATTACTTTTAAAATTTTGTACAACATAATATTTTTAATATTTCTATAATCAGAGTGACTCTTTGAATGAGGTCTCGCTGTTTATGTTTTTGTTCTTTATTCTTTTATTACAAGTTGCAGTTTTGCTCGATTTAGAGCACCGGGTTATCTAGTTTCTATTGTTGGCCTATCCCTTTGGCACAATTTTCTTTTTTTCTATGGAAATATGTTTATTACATTGTTGTTTTGGGCTCACAATTTGGCAGCTTTTCCAAGGTATTATACAACTCGAAAATACCTTATTACAAGTCGTGATTTTTTTCAACCCATCCTACCACCCACAGTGCTATCCTTATAATTAGACCGATTCGTTAATTACAAGGCAAAAATGTGGTTCGGATTCTACTATAGGTCTCTTAGTTGCCATTGGCTGTATGGAATTAACAGCTGTGTCTAAGGAAGATGTTGGCCTTAATTAGTGACTAACAAGATTACAAGATCGCGCCATTCATCCTTACACTCATCCATCCCTCATATTTTCATCCTTACAAATTGGTTGTTGCACGTAAGCAGACAAAAAGAATTAAATATAGACCGTCAGCTGTGCTGCGGTTACCATAGGTTCTGGCGCACACCGCTGGGATCGCCACGGTAGTTACAGCGTACGCGCTAAGTAAACTACAGCGGTGTGCACCCGAACTTACGGTAACCATGGTAACCGCAGCACGGCTGACAGTCTATATTTAATTCTTTTTGTCTATGACTTAAGTTGAATCAAAGGTTATTGAAATAGATGATTAGATTAGATTATGTCTGATGTTTAGTAAAAGGTTCTTGCAGGTTATTGAAAGTGAAAACCTTATTATGTACGTTTGTCTAATAATATGTCTGCCAAAGCTCATTTCCACTTTTTTTTTATCTGTAACCTAGGAATTAACCAAACCATTGAAGTTACTGAACAATTAATAGTACAATTCTGTAACTGTAAATCCCCAGTTACAGTGAAATAGTAACTGTCCGGTGTGGTAAATTACGTTTTGGAATAATTCTTTTTTGAGAACCAGAATGGGAAAAAGTTTTAAAGAATATAACATATTAATGATTTTTTAGGAATTTTTAGTCCTCTAACTGCATCACAGAGGTTTAAATAGGAACATATTATGGTTCTAACAAGATAAAGCTATTCTGCTCGATGAATGTCCTGTGCAGACCCTTCCCGGGACATCTTGTTTTCTGACAGCGATGTTGCTCTGCTCAACAGATTTTATTTCTGCTTATTTATCAAATATTTCTGCTGCATGTAACTTCTGGCTGTGTATCATTGGTTGGGTGTTTATTCAAGAAACCCTCTACCTATTTGTAATACACACACACACACAACAGCGTCATTGATGAAATCTCTGCAATACCAATATCAGTGAATTGTAATCTGTTCGAGAATTTTCAAAAAAGATTAGAGTCTTGTGTGGACATTGGTGGAGGTCATTTGAAAGAGCTAATGACATAATAATATGACATATTGACATAATAAATCAAATTGTCATGTACAATTGACTCCAATTCAGTGGCGGATCCAGTCAGGGGGCGCCCCCCCCCCCTTGGACATCAACAATGTTTAATTATCGGGTAACTTGGGCCTAACATGTAATAATGTTGTGCCTGGCATACACTCTTACCAAATCTTACTTAACTGCCAGGAATTGCTAAACTTATGTATTTTCCGTCGTAACTTACTTAATCCTGCAAGTGTATTCCACATTAGTAGTTTTTATTTTGAGGGAGCAGTCTTATTTCACTGAAAAAGGGATATTTTGCTTACTTAATGTGTTGCACTAGATTCATTCCAGTCCACATGAACTAGATTGAATACGGTGTGACCATAAACTTATATCTTTTCCCCATAACCTGTCTTAAGATTACAGTTGTAGAGATGTATAATCAATGGTTTTGATATTAACTTTAAATCATACGTATGCAATCTTTTCATCCTAATATAAATTTTGAAGCTCGTTTTGAGTTTGTTTCATGATTGAACATATTCACCCAATATTTATAGTCAATGGTTTTTTATTAGTGAGGTTTAAGAGTGTTGACAAAATGGTTTTTCTCAATTTCTTATTTGGAAAAATTATATTATTTGTGCTCTATTCTTCAGTCAAAACATACAGTCTAAGTAATGGTTTTCTAAAAGATCGTTTTATTTGGATAAAAGTTTAAATAGGTACTTAAATGTAAATTTAAATAGGTACGGTACATAAAAGGGATGATAATCAATAAATTGCTCTCAACATAAACTGGTAGGATCTAACCTTAAATTTGTCTTCAACATCTCCCACGATCGCATAGACAAAGCTATCCTCTCTTATGATGGCGGGATGGTTTTAAACAATCCGGCTATATTGAAGTTATCATAATCATATCCCACGATCGCGGTGGATTTGTGAGCATCTCCCGTGAACACCAAGACATCATCAATCATCCACCCGTGGGTGCCAAGACATTATCATCGTCTACCGCAATTTCTGAAATATCTTGAACATCACCGCGAAAGCTATAAGACTCGTTATCGTTTCCTGCGATCCTGACAATAGTAATAATACACTGAACACCTCCTGCGGTTGCAATTTGGAAATATATCATTATTGTGTTTTACGATTGCAGCAAAATCTTTCATGACCCGTGCGATCATGGGGACATCATTATCGTCTTTCATGATCGGGGCAAAATTATTGCAAAACAACCAATAAACGGAACGTTTTTAACCAATTCGAATTTTTTACAAATAGGTACCATTAAACCAAATCCAACTTCAAAAATGGGTTCTATTTTTTGAGCCCTTATACCTATAGGGCAAAAATGTGTCCACACAATATGTAAAAATTTAAGTTCGCCCCCCCTTCAACAAATTCCTGGATCCGCCTCTTCTGGACTAGCTGTATTAATAAAGTAATTTGCTTTATTGTACTTTAAAATCTATTTCATCCTATGTTATTTACAGAGTTGACAAAGATCGCAGTGGTGTTATTTCTGCAGATGAACTACAAACTGCCTTATCCAATGGCACCTGGACTCCCTTTAATCCCGAAACTGTGAGACTGATGATTGGTAAGTAAAGTCACGGAGAACGTTGTAGGCCTACTGTACACCTTTTTTCATGATTTCAATCTAGCATTGGTGTGTGGCGTTTAAGCTACGATATTGGCGATTATTGTCAATTGATTGACTGTTACGACAAAACCATTTGTGTAGGAAACAACAACTGAACCCCTTAATTTAACCAGAGGAGATAATTTACCGTGAATCACAAGCCCAAAGAGCCAGCTTTGATGATTATTAATATTAATTGAACCATTTTAACTACAGAAGTTCATTGTCTTTGAATATGTGCAATAATTACTAATCAGATAACTGGACACAATGTGGACTAAGAATTTAGCAAAATATTAATATTAAAAGGGGGCACTGGAAATTAAGATAAGCATTTTTAACTACAGAATCTGAAAAGTACAATCATGGAGATTTAGAGTAATTACATATCTACCACCTTACCTCTCATGGAGCCTTACGCCATATCCCAACTCCTAGCACACGTCCATGTTCTTTGTTCCACGGCAGCACCAAGACAGCCTGATGGTACTCTACTCACCTTACGTGCACTGACGTGAGTTGAAGAGTGCCTTCTTGGCGGAACATTTGAGTTAGGTGGATCAGGCTGTGGATGTTAAGCTCCACAGGTGTAGTGATGATAACTCGTTACTGCCATTTGCTAAATTTTACAGGAGAGCAAAATCTTATTTATTAACTTATTTATAATTAAACATTTGGTTTAAAAATCTTGCATTTTTGAACTTGTGATAAGATGATACAGTGGAAATGTCCCTTGTATGGGGGGAGCAAATGATGTAATTCTGCTCACAAATGATCAGAGGCGGCTCCAGCATGGATTCTCGGAGGGGGCCATTGCTTGAAATCTTGGGTTGTAGGCTGTTAACCCCCTAAACACCGGGGGTCCGGGAAACTTTTGCAAATTAGACCTAAATCTCACGTTTTTAGATTTTTAGAGACATAAAAAAGATTTTTTCAATTGTAGTAAAAAATGTTTAACCGCGGCGTTTATTGTACAATACCCTCGAGGTCCTAAACCACGGCATAGTCGTAAATTCAACACTTTCTACCACCACTTATAATTCAGTAACATTGATTGAAAGTTTACATTTCAAGCTTTGAGTATTTAATTTTAATATGGAGTCAATAGCAAATTAACATTAAGCTTTGTGCCATCACATTTTTAAGGTCTTTATCAGTAACTGATCCTTATCAAAATCAGATCTCGGGATCAGTAACCTCACTACGAACAGTCAACCGTTGACTATCTGAAGCCCGGTCATCCGAAACGTGGCCGATTACCGGCCTTGACGTGATAGCGAGAGACGACCAGCGGTGACGCCGAGACCGCAGAATATGGTCACAGATGCTGCTACAATTGCAGGAGACAATCAAAACTAGTAAAAATATACTTGTAAATTTGAAAAAAAAATCTATGTTATCTTGCCTAAATAGGCCTACGTACAAAGATCCGTCTATTTTTATCAATTTGCTATGGGCGCACCTGTGAAAGCGGTTTGACAATATTTTGAAAGCAAATTATATTGTTAAAGTAATTGTTTTAAAGTATTTTAATTTGTAATAATTAATTATTGTAAATCAAAATCAAATAAACTTATGGGGACCGGGGACCAGAATGTCGAGCTGAACTCGATACTGGAAACTTTGGAAATTTGGAAGACCGAAAAAAGCTTGTTAATTGTCAGTAGACTACGTAAATTTTGATTGGGGCCGAGAAATCTACTTTATATTTTTAAAATCTACTTTATATTTTTAAAATCTACTTTATATTTTTAAAATCTACTTTATATTTTTAAAATCTACTTTATATTTTTAAAATCTACTTTATATTTTTAAAATCTACTTTATATTTTTAAAATCTACTTTATATTTTTAAAATCTACTTTATATTTTTTAAGAATCACTTCCGATAGCCTATGGCCAAGTGTCTTGTCCATTTATTACTATAGAGCACATGAATATTTTATGCGCCAAGTTCATTACCGAAAGGAAGAAAATCACGATCGTGGGAAATACAAAACTATGTTGCCGTGATCGCAACAGTTGCTCACGGGATGTTCCCTTGACCTCTTTGCTAATGTAGGTTTCGAGTTTTGGCCATAACTTATACCTAATGTACTAAGAAAAATGAATAAACAATGAAAGTAACATCCGCCGCATGCGCAATTCGTCCGATGCCACCGCACGTATTGTTTCTGGTCATCGTCAAAACAAGGCCGCATAAAGGCCCCTGTCCTGTTGGTATTGAAATACTGGTACTGTACTCCCATTTAACGTTGATTTTTGGCACAGATACTTGTTCTAAAAACCGATGGTGCCGAGATTTTCCTTTAGGTATCAAGACATAGCTAATTATAATAATATTAAATATTAAATGGTATGAGATACGTTTATTGAAATATTGAAAATTTTCCCCTGCTCTCGGGGGAAGGAGCCGCCCCTGCAAATGATGCCAGTAAGCGGCGAGGAGCCTCATCACGGCAAACTCGTGAACTACGGAACTATACACCAAACCCAAAAAACCCCCGCATATTATTATTATCGTATATTACAAGCAAAACCATCTTTTTTAAGCAGATTGGTATTTAGTGAACACAGAACTCCACTCGTATATGAAAGTAATAATTGCATTTCATAGAATCATTCTTATGCACCTCTTATGTGTACCTCTTAGTAAATGTTTTTTTTAGATTTATAGCAATTTTTATGTAAAATAAAAAACACCGCCACAGCAAACCTGCAGACTAAGTGAATTTCAATTTGCCTGAATTGATATACAATTAAATCTATAAATAACATTAGGTCAAACAAGTACCTTGGTTAGGTGCTACAGGGAGGCTAATAAAGTGTGTTTTTGGTAAAATATTAATATCTTAGTATAAAATAAATAAATTTGCTAAGTTTTATCAAAATATATTTATAAACAAGCAAACTACAACTACAATATTCTGCATAAGAATAACAAGGGAATTTTAAATGAAAATTTTTTTGAATATTCTCCGTTACTAATAACCGTACAAAAACGCATTGATATACTACATTATTTGATTTTTTAAGCTCTTTAAAAAGATCTGGAGAGAAATTGGGAGATTTTGTGTTTTGAGGATAAAAAATGAGAAAAGACATTTTTACCCCATAAAACCCCTGTAAAACCCCGTTCCCATTTTCCAATCATGCTGGTTCGCGAACTCATTCACGTTTATCCCGCCTTACACCTTTAAACCAAATTTCATCGAAATCGGACAAAAATTACTCAAGTTATCGCCACGAACACACATATATATATAAATTTGAACGAATGGTGTTTTTGGCCTCTGGGAACATCAAAATGAAAAAGTTAATCGGTCCTGGGCCTAGGTCTTACCATGCCACCTACGGTAATAGCTACTTCCCTATTGGGAAATTCGCTACAAAAGAAGAAAATAGCAGTGGAGCTAAGCTCACTGGGGAAATGTGCATTATCAGTGACAGTGACTACAAGACCCATTTAACGGCAAACTTAAAACTGTTTCATAGCTCACATTTATCATGGCTCAAGGTCTACCCGATAACGTGCAATTGACAGTTTGTGTCCGGTTTTAGAATATTGTAGTTGTATGCTGAAACCAATAAAGACTGGTTTTACCTATATAATACTGTACTTTCCTAGGTATGTTTGACAAACAGAACCGAGGCACTGTCAGTTTTGAAGATTTTGGAGCGCTGTGGAAATATGTTACTGACTGGCAGAACTGCTTTCGCTCCTTTGACAGGGACAATTCCGGTAACATCGACAAGAACGAACTGACACAGGCCCTGACAACGTTTGGCTATCGGTTGAGTCCTCAGACTGTGGACACTTTGCTGCGCAAGTTTGACAGGTTCGGGCGAGGAACCATCCTGTTTGATGACTTTATTCAATGCAGCGTTATCCTCTATGTAAGTACTTTTTTCTTCATTTGTTTGCCATTAAGCCGCTAATTAGGCTTCACTTCAGTCAAAGTATCTTAATTTCTCGGTCCTTGGCAATCATTTCATTTGATTTCCAATCACAAAATAGAGTACTTGCAAACAGTATAATTTGTTTTTTAATTTACAAGAGTCATTCTTCTGAATTGCTTTTGAATTTACTTATAAAACAAGATTGCCAAAATTTTTTTTTAATAGACTACTTCCAGCTTTTTGATTGTAACCACCCTTAACATTAAACACAAAATTAGACAGCTATTTGTATGTAATCAACCTTCTATTTGTGGCGTGTACTATAATTTATAGTAACGGTACTGGACTCATAAGGATCGTTAAGGCTCAATATAATCAGTTTATTGCTGCATCGACATTCTGAGTTGAATAATAATAAACTTAAATTAAATACTGAGCCAAACCACATCCATATCACAGCCATTATGATGATCTAATATTTCTTTTGCATCTAATTAAATATATTAAGCAAAAGAACAAGTAAAACTTCCTCTCGTACATTAAGGGTACGAGTGTGCTCAAGTTTAATTTACATACTAAGCTGAAATAGTTATTAGTTCCCTAACCCCTTAATCCCCCCCTTCCTGAAAAAAATTAGAACATATTTTAAAATTACTTAATCTAATGACAACTTATAAATTCGGCGACGATGTCCAGCATTGAACCGGCAAAAGTAGTCTCCAGAGCACAACTACTAAACCACTACTCTGTCTCCGCGCTTCTTACCCCCTCCCCAAGTTCTCCAGCAATCAGCTGATTTACGTCTGATGCGTCGCCGCTGTGATGCAGGCGTCACATATTACAAAATGAATATGTCATATAAAAGTTTAATGTCTGCAGCTTACTCTTAAAGTCTGTACCTATTGTTCTCATACGGTGAACCAATAAACATTTTTTTGGGTTTGGTACCGATACAGACTTCAATAAAATAGTACTGACACATCATTAGTTGTAAAACAATAATTGTAATGGAAATTTGAAACATACCAGTGAAAGTGTTTCAGAATCTTTAAACAGCTGATTGTAATTTTAACCGATGTATTCTCTAAGGAGATTATTGGTATTTGTTAAATGGCGTATATTATAGTAAAACTTTTGTCCCAATAATGCACAAAATTGAGTCTTTGATCAGTAATTATTTTACCTTAAAATAGGTTTGGCCATGTTTAATAGCTAAAAAGACCTATGACAAATGTAGGTTTTTAAAATCTAAGGCTTACCTTACAATCCAATTTATTTTATAGTGGAGACCTAGGTTTCTAGGTCAAAACGTTATCATTAGTTCTTTGTCTCATAGGTCCTTTGTTGAAATGATAACGTAGAATCCTAGGTCTCCACTATAAAATAAATTGGATTCTAAGCTAAGCCTTAGAAAAAAAATGCAATAACGATCCAGAGGCTATGTCTCCAAATCAAATGAAGAGTTTTTTTTTTGGAATTTCCTTTGTAACTTTTTAATCATACGACGTTTCAATATAATTTTAACGACAAATCTGTAATTTTATTTACTTAGGTAACTAGGTACAGATTTTCTATTTTTTATAGTTGTTGCAAAGTAGTGCAAAGGGTGTCTTACAGTTAAGAGTTCAAAATATAGCTGAGTAAAATATATAGTACCCACCAATTAATCAGAAGAGTACTGATTCAATTCTTAAACAATTTAGATGATTTTTTATAGTCCTGGAAACAGCTGTCCCTGATCACTTCCACTGGCCTTGTATTTACTCAGTAACAAAGGAACCATGCCCAGATGAGTTGGTGACACAAAAATCTAATATATTTTGAGATTGATTGATTTTCCAAGAATCATAGTGTTTAATTATTATTTTTTTTCACAACATTTTTCTCATAGAATCTTAGTTTTTAGTTAGCTCTTCACTGCTTGTTTCAGACACTCACATCAGCATTCCGTCAGCACGACACGGACCAAGATGGTGTCATACAGATACACTACGAACAGTTCCTCAACATGGTCTTCAGTCTGAAGGTCTAACCTAGAACCACCTAGAAGATCTTTTATGTATAGTTATCGGGGTTGGATTCATCAGACATGAATTCTACAAATCTGAGGTTCAAGCAATGTTTTTACTCTAGCAAGAGGTTGTTTGACAGATAGACATTTACCATTTACCGTTTTGACACATATTTGGCTTTTATCAAAGAAAGCAGTGGACTCTTGTGATGCTTGTAAGCGGAGACATTAAAGTATATAGTAGTTACTAACCAAATTTTAGACTTGAAGCTGTGAAAAATTAGTATTAGGACAAACTGTAACAAAGAAGAAACTAAACAGCGTGCCAAACTTTTGCTTTAACTCAGGTATTCTTTGTGTAATGGTGGACCTTTTCTGTGTCAGTAGGTCACTTGTTAGTTAAAATGATTCATCACAAAGTCAGGTAGTGACTTGAAAGTCATGTGTTGTACATAGGCTTAAATCATAAGGTGTATTGGTGAACTATGAAATAACTTTTCCATTTTACAAAAATCGGGGAAAAAGTTGTGTAACTAATAATAAAAAATTGTTTTGTAAATTTCAAGTGGTTCAAATATTTACAAGTTAGTTACCTTACACACACATAGCAGTTGTCATAAAGTGTATTAATAAACATTTTTTTTATCTTTAATGGTGGTTTTCTGATAAAAACCCATAAAATAACAGAAAAATAAGATTTTCTCAAAAATAGCCCGAACGATTTTGATCAATATTTAGTATATTGTTGCTCTTTAAATTATGAACAAACTGGTAGAAATTCCTGTAAAAATTACGGTTCAAAAGTTATTGCGAATTATGTTATTACCTATTTTCCCATTTAAAAAAAACCATAAAATAAGCGTAAATCGTATTTAAAAAAGGCCGGGTTTGATTGAAATTAGCATGTGATAATCCTTATGATTCCTAACAACATAGTGAAGCCACCCATTGCTGTAAAAGTTACGGTTCGAAAGTTATTACAACTTTTGTTATTTTCCATATAAAATATCACAGTTACTCCCAACGCTTACCCATGATATAGGTTGTTGACAAGCTAACGGGAGAAAGTATGTGTCAGATTGCTGATACCGTTTATTTCCTTTGGTATTCTTGGATAACATTTAAATTCCTATACAGTGTCAAATTGCTGCATATATTGAAAGTAATTAAGTTGTACCGAGGCCACACTAAAAATAACAGGCCGTAATGCTCGTCAAGCATGACGTCATGATAGAAGACGGCAATAACGTAGGTATTTTTTATTTATGTTCCAAGGAAAGATTAAAACATGCAGCTGATCACAAACGGCAAACATTACGTCATTGCCGTTTTCTATCGTGACGTCATGCTTGACGAGCATTACAACCTGTTTTTTTTAGTCTAGCCTTGGTTGTACCCATTACTTTTTCCCAAGCTAAAATTGTTCGTCTCTGGATATGTGATTGTTATAACATTCTTTGTAGTTTATAAACTACAAGGATATTACTCCTTATTTTTAAACTTGTCCGTTGACAGAAATTTAAATTAGCTTATGACTTGTAGTTTTATAATTTTAAATGATGATTGAAGTATTAAACAATATTGTTAACACTAAGCTCAACCATCACTAAGTATTTTGCTAAGGATTTCTGTGTTTACACCAGGCTTGCCCATAGAAGGTCTCCAACATACTCCCATCGTGGCCAAGCTAGCTAGTTCAAAACTGAGACAAGCCATGTGTTCAGGGCCAGATTTTGCATTTTGGCTCCCTTCGGCCCAATAACTTTTCCACCTCTAGTCTGGTTAAAGTTACTTTATTAAAAAACCTTTTCTTAAAATTCTATCAGACCTATATTTTAAATGCTTAAACACCACTCCACAATGCAATTGTATGATTGCAAATTTTAAAAGAATTTACTTGGATATTTTAAGTATTAAATAGAGAGCCCAAGTTTGTGCCTTGTGGGACTGAAACAAAACAATCTAAAGATCAATGCATTTCTGCAACAAAGCATGGCCATTGCTGCCGCCGCAGTAGCTTAAAAATTTCAGGTCATGAAAACACAAAACTTGAACTTCGGACAGTATGTGATACCATAGATTAAACATGCTCCCTTAGTCTTAGTAGATTTGTCAGCTGAAGACAATTCTTGTTATTTCAATTTCAGTTATTTAAAACCTCATTTACCAACTAAAAATATCTAATCATAAACAATAGCTCGTCCTCTGGTTTTATTACAAGAAATTAAAACACATATCATAAAATTAACCCTAAAGTAATATAAATAAAGTATTTAAACTGAGGCACCTGCTGTCACTACTAACATGAACTAGACAAGAAAAACAATCTTAATATTTTACAATGTGATGAGAAGACTACTTGATAGTTAGTCTATTGCGATACAGCATCTAAATTATATTCGAAATGCAAAAGAAAACATTGTAAATGGTGCTTTGGAGAGTACACTATTGAATTTTTTAACCTTTTGCAAACTCAAACTTTCATTAATTTGAAAGACAAACTAATAGTTTTATTTTTTTTATATTTTTTTATTAACACAAGGTATGATACATTTTTACTTGATCCTGCTCCTGAATGTTGTTGTAAGCAATTTAAAATATAGGTAATAACTTTCATTTTGCGAGGTGATATAGAGTAGTGTCACGACAAAAACTTTGACACGCTCACGCCTAATCACTCCGAGCAGTAGCGCCGAGTCAGTGGCTCGACAACATCTATAGCCATTGTCCATGTTCAAAACCAATGTTGTAACAAAGTTGATGCGTACATTGAAAAATATTTCTCAGATTTTAACTAGTTTGCTAGGCCAAGACAACTTCTAATTTTAGATGCTCTGTAGATACTGTGAAGTAATCTATATTTGCTAGAAAAAAGTATTTTGAAAAACAGTGTTTATATTTTGATAACTTTGTTTAGTACTGTAATTTCAAATGTCTTGTACATTTTGTACTCTGGTTATTTATTATAAATGCAAAGAATATTTAAAGCATTTGTTGTTTGAAAGTAAGATATTTTTGGATTAAGTATCATTGTTCTTAGTTTGTGTGTAGTTATGATGCTTTTGTTTATCTTTTTACCACTGGGACTAATATGTGATACATGATCAGCTAGTTATTTTTAAAACTTTTAAGTGTTTTTTTTTTTTTTTTTTTTGTTTAAGAGATAGTTGAAAAGTACTCACATTCCAAAAAACCCATCCTTTGTATCATGTAATTGATTTTTTTAAATTTTTGATTAAACTTGAATTTTCAAAATTTCTGTACAACAAACATAGTTAAGAGTACTATAATAAATTGAGGATTGTTTTCTTTGTTGAAATTAAAGAGGTCTTGTTGCACCAATAAATTGAACAAATATTTTTTGAGCATATAAATATTTATGTCTCTGTTAATAAAGTATTTTCAATACAATGTTTTTAAGTCCTTGACTTTTATCAAATACTAGCCGTAACCCGCGGGCTTTGTCCCGTTTAACTTCTTAATTTCCAAGATGATCTTGTTCGCATGGCTCAATCACGTCCTGGTTGAAGTTCGTTCGCTACACTCACTCACCTTTAGGTCGGAGCTTGTTCGCTACGCTCACTCACCTTTAGGTTGGAGCTCGTTCGCTGCGCTCACTTGCCTTCAGGTTAGCTCGTTCGCTGCGCTCACTTGCCTTCAGGTTAGCTCGTTCGCTACGCTAACTCGCCTCCAGGTTGAAGTTCATTCGCTACGCTCACTCACCTTTTGGTTGCAAATTAGCTGTTGTCATAAATGTAAAAGAAATAATAGTGCTGCACCCTGTTGGTAATCCTTGTAACTTTAATGCTATTGAACATCATAGAACAGAACCAACTTGTTTAATTGAAACAGCTGTTAAGATTCATTAATTCCATTTCTCATAAGGTTAACATGGGAAACTCCAGAGCCCAGAGGTCGGAGGGTAAAATCCTTTCTTAGTGAGCGTCTACTACCCAAAAGGAAGATGCCTGCCAAGTTTCAGGTTCCTAGGTCTTATGGTTTCTGAGATTTCGTGATGAGTGAGTGAATGAATGAATGAGTCAGTGGTATTTGAGCTTTATATATAGATTATCTCCTCTTAAGACAATGTTGTGTAGATAGCATGACTGGTTTTCTACTAACATAATATTCTACTTGAAAAACTGAATCATGTTCATAATTATAACATTAGGAGTAGGGAGCATCATGGACAAACATATCATTGATTAGATTTAAATTAACTTCCCTGCATCAAAATATTGGTACAAAATTTTATAATTTAATGTACTTCTTGCCTATTTAGAAATAACCAAACACTGTGATTCATTAAAACTCCCGCCGCAGCAAACCTGCAGACTTAGCGAATTTCCATTTGCCTGATTGGATTTGACTAAATTGACTCCTTAAAAATATCACATTTATTCCCTATTTAAATAGAATCAGTTTAACACATACTTAGGTTTGCTGCAACAGGGAGGGTAAAAGTGGTTTTTTTATTTAAAATGTTAATAGTTAGTAAGAAATAAAAAAATTTCCAAATTTGGGCAAAATATGTTAATAAACAAGCAAACTACAACAGTTTACTTATTCTCCATAAGAATAACATGAGAATTTTAAATTTACAATTCTTTGGAATTTTCTCCGTAACCATTAGGCACATTATAACGCTTCAATATACTAAATTATTTTTTTTTTAAGCTCTACAAAATTGTTTGGAAAGAAATTGCAAAATTTTATGTTTTTTGGGTCAAAAATGGGAAAAATCCATTTTTACCCCATAAAAGCCCCCATAAACCCCCGTTCCCATGGTCCGATCATGCTGGTTCGCGAACTCGTTCGAATAAACGTAGGTTTACACGTTTATACCAAATTTCATCAAAATCGGATCATTTTTCCTTGAGTTATCGCGCTAACGGACACACACACACATATATATATATATATATATATATATTAAAAATCAAAAACATATTTAACAAAGTACCCTTTTAGTAATTATTTTATTTTGTTAATAATTACTAAAAGGGTACTTTGTTAAATATGTTTTTGAATTTTACTATATTAGTAGCCCTAAAAATGCAAGAAAATAATAATAATAATAATATATATAGATGAATTTGAACGGATGGTGTTTTTGGCCTCTAGGGACCTCAAAATGAAAAAAAAAAAAATCATGATGGTATGGCCTCTGGATCGTCTGAATTAACGTATAGTGGTTTAAATTACCTTGTTCTGTCCAAAACGATCCTATGTAGTTCGTAGTGACTACAGCTGTTTCGTGCTGCAGGAGCACATCATCAGGTCGTGAGAATGTCAAGCAGTCATTAGATATTCCTCATGATGGAGTTCGTCAAAAGTTTATAGTAGTAAATAAATAACATAGACATGACATAAAAACACAAAAACACAAAACTGAACATTTAACACTGGTCGACCAGGCGGTAACGAAACACGTGATACGGCACCGGTTGAGGGCAAGTCGCGACTGTCACGTGTCGTCAGCGTTGACTCCCGCCCCTACTCCTATGATATCCTTATCTCGTTCTTTTGTTGTCTTTCTATTAAGGATATGAATGGCAGTGTTGTAGATAATGTTAGACTCGAATGATAATTTTTCGTTCAATATATGCTGTGGGTTTTCCTTTGACGCCTTGTAAATTTCATACTCTTCAACTGTATCCATGTATCGGCCTTTATTACAGAACTGTACTATTTCTAAATTATTGTGAATATCAGTGTAATTGTGGTTGTGGGAAATTAGGTGGTTTGCGTACGCTGATTTGGAATTTGCCTTAGGCTTGTGTTCCTTGAACCTAGGTTCTAGTAAACGAATTGGCTAAAAATGACGTTATTGTATCATTTAAAACTACCAATAAACTCTCAACCATCGTCAAAGAAAAGTGCCAACCTGAAACCAATAGAATGGAAAAAACAGGAATTTACAGATTGAAATGTAACGATTGCCCCAATTTTTACATTGGCCAGACTTCAAGATCTTTTTCTACCAGGTTCAAGGAACACAAGCCTAAGGCAAATTCCAAATCAGCGTACGCAAACCACCTAATTTCCCACAACCACAATTACACTGATATTCACAATAATTTAGAAATAGTACAGTTCTGTAATAAAGGCCGATACATGGATACAGCTATGTGGAATGAGTTTTTAGTTTTTACTATGATGTTGAATTTTTGCAATTTAATTAATTTTCCTACAGTTACCTAACAATGTACATGTTCTCTCGCTGATTTGAGAAAGCAAAGTGGTCAATTCGCTCATCAGTGAGACAATGTTAACATTGTCTCACTCTAATTACTTTGTCTCACTCCAGATTTGCAACGTGAAGGCACGAAATAGTGAGCGCGTAACATGCAGGCAACGTCTTTGATTTACAATTTAGCAGTTAATATTTGTGGAAAGCTTAATTTAATTTATGTTCCGACCAAAAGTTAAATGTTAGCTATAGACAATCTAAATATTTTATATTTACCTGTATTCCGTACTTCAATTAATGACCATATTGTAATACAGTGTGTTAAATTGTCCATTCTCAATGAGGCAATTTGAATTGACTTCTTGATTTTCAAGCAAGGTAACAACTAATTCAGGAGGTCCTAACAAGAATGTTTTGCAAATGCTTTAGCATTAAAGGAGGTTTAGTAGCATTCTTTTACGAAGATTTTGCGTTATGGCCACTGTAATGCTTATTGCTTATGAAATCTTCGGTTTTGTAAAAAGTAGCTGCTGTAGTATTTTATAGGAGGAAAATTTTTGTGTGAAAATGCTTATAATGTGCAATAGATAATATAAAACGTAATGCACCTTGATCAAGCAAATGGGAGTCAAGGGATTCAAAAGCTTCAAAGAATTTTAATCGAGTTTTAATAAATCATCTGAAAGCTATGCAACAAGAATGTTTCAAAGGTGTGCCCTCAGAGTTTCTTGCTGTTGTGCCTTTAGCAATCTTTTTTCCTGTGATGAGAATGATGATGTCCACGATTTCCATTTGCTTTGTCTTCACCACCATTTCCAGCTGTGGCGCCACCAGATTTTCCAGCTGTAGTTTCCTCATTTGCTCCTTTTATTGGTTTATTTTCACCGCTAACCTTTCCCTTTTGATCCTTTGATTCAGATTTTTCTGCCGCTGACTTCTCTTTTTCTTTTGATCCCTCCAATTTGTGTTCTGCTGATCCTCCAGAACTTTTTCTTTGAGAAACTGCCTGTTCTACTGTGGGATTTTTCTTACCATTTGCATGGCCATCAGAATTCCCAGCTGTGGTGTCCTCATCTGCTTTTTTTGTTGGTTTATTTTCACCACTAACCCCCTCTTGAACCTTTGCCTCAGATTTGTCTGTACCTGACACCTCTGATTTCTCTTCTTTTGATCCCTCCAATTTGTGTTCTGCTGATCCTGCAGAACTTTTTCCTTGAGACATTGTCCGCTCTACTGTTGGATTTTTCTTAACATTTTCAGGGCCATCAGAATTCCCAGCAGCTGTGACTTTATTGTTTCCAACTTTTGATTTATCATGCGCATCTTTTTTCAGTTCAGTTTCACTTCTGACCTGTTCCTTTGCTTCCAAATTATTTTTTTCAGATTCTATTGATCTTGGTGTGTGTGCATTTTCCTGTTCTACTGCCTTTGTCTTCACGTTAGCAGTTGTTTCACTGTTGGACATTTGGTTTAAAGCTTCCTGTGAGTTAGTGCCAGTTTCCTTCTTAGCGGTAACCACTGCATCCTCTTCCTTTTTATTCTGGGTAGTACTCCTCAAGAATTTCACTCCGGATACTGCACTACTCACTGCTACTTTTGCGGATTTCATTGCTACATTGACAGCTGATTTTGTCGCGTCACTCTGTGCTGCTTTAACTGCAAACCCTTTTGCAGTAATGATAAGGGTTTTTGATTTAGCTAATACTCTAGCTCCATCCTTTGCAAGAGGAATTAAAGTGTTCATGGACGGATTGTTAACTAAGTCGCCAACTTTTTGGACGAAAGAAGTAAAATCAGCCACACTAGGTATCTCAGTTCCTTCTTCTTTGGGTGTGTCAGGTGAAGCTTCTGTAAGATGGGATGAAACAGTAGATAGGAGAGTAGAAGCAATACCACTACCAGTACTGCTCTCAGCATTGCCGTCTGGCCCATCAGCACGAGTGGCAACATGCAAGTACAATATGACGATACTGATCTGAAGAAAGGAAAGAATTTCAGCATTAAAACCTTATTGATTACCTTAGTACCTACCTACCTTAGTACTGCCTATGTAGTAGTTTACCTTAGTAGTCTATGCCTACTAGCATGGTGAGGTGTGTGTATTAAAGACTATAGTCAGAAGTTAGCTAATAGCTGTCATTTCAACAGTTGCCGTTTTAGGTTGCAAGATATTCAATGAGTTAAGTCCTTCAAATAGTTTTTTGGTGACTCGAATTGGAGCCAAGTTCTTCTTGATCATTGGGTTTTCAAAATGGTGCAGGCTAAATAACAGTGGTCTTAAGTCAGTGATAACTTTTGGCAACTCACTCTATTCTATACTCATCCTTTATTATTTGGGTTTAAATAATCTCAGTTGTGGTCCCATCTCAATATTGGTAGTAATAATTGTTATTATATAGAAGTAATGGGGGATGGAGCCATGGCTCGCTATAGTTTATTTCGATTCTAAAAGCAATATAAGGGGTACTCACGTTTTATTTACAATTAATTTAGGCTTTTATAATTTAAGTTTCAGAGGAACTTCAATTTATTAATATAGAAACTTTAACTTTTCAATGAAATGGCGACCATACAAAATAGGTATTTTAAGCCAATTATGAATGGAGATGAGTGTAGGATGAGTGGCACTGGAGTGGCACGATCTTGTAGTCTTGTTATTGACAAAGGCCGACTTATTCCTAAGACACAGCTGTTAATTAATAGCCCATACAGCTAATGGCAACTAAGGGACCTACAGTTTATCGTGGAATACGAACCACATTTTTGCCTTGGTATATACGAATTGGTCTAATTTTCAGGATAGTACTGCGGATAGTCATAGTACTCTCTCGTGCGGACGTTAATCCACACCAGGAAGTATTGCATCCACAGTTCATGCCTAAATATCCACAATTCGTGACCACCTAGTAGCTGGATTACAGGTTGACGCCACCCATCTCAGTTAACTTTAAATTTAACTTGGCAATCCAGAACACATTAATTTGTTTACCTAACCCGCCATGTTAAACTTCCCTATCCCAAGCGTGATGTATACAACTTCCTTACTTCTCGAGTGATGTAAAGTATCAAAAACTCACTCGGTGATGTAAAGAAACCCATTTAAATAACATTGAGTGCTTAACTTAAAAAATATAACTCTATGGAGCCAACGACGTTCAACAATAGAAATCAGCTGTGCGCTTGAATGTTATTTTTATGCTTTAACTTATTTCCCAACCTAGCTTTTGCAATTTTGTTAGTAAAAGAACGTTACTGATAGAAGATGAGTGAAATGGATAGTGAAAAATATTGTACGTAAACCCATGTATATTGTCGGGTCAGGTAAAATCTTTTACGTTACACGTTACGCAAGGGCGTGTTTACATCACTTAGGTAAATTATGCAACTCGCTTCCGCTCGTTGCACAACATTCACCTGCGTGATGTAAAAACGCTCTTACTACACTTGTAATGTGAATAGCTATTACGGTCTATGGTAAAAATCACTCGTTTATAATAGCCTATACTTACATAAACATTGTTTTTACAGTTTGTTTAAATTAAAACAGCTGATTGAAAATGTTTGTTTGAATCCTAAGTTACTGTACATAAAATAACAGTGCGTAAATTAAGTATGGAAACAAATCTGTATTTATAAAACAGAAATGGATAGAAACTAAGTGGCTTGTAGGGGCAATAGCCCCTAAATACAGGGTGTTTCAAAATTGTCTGGACATATTTTGTGGACTTGTTCCTTAGGCTAATACAAACATAAAATGCCCTAAAAGTATGGGTCTAAAATGCCTAGATTTCTGTTTGTCGGTCTGTTTGTGATTTTTAAAAATTATTTTATATCTTGAGCATTTTTCAAGATAGAAATTTCAAAATTGGTATAAACAAGAGGTTCTACCCGCAAATTCACGGGTGTACAGAAGCCACCATTAAATTTATTCAATCAACTTTGACTTTATATTTCATTTAAAGGGCCCAAGTTCGAGAAATTGTCATCTGAAAGGATGTTAAAAGCATAAGAACCTTCATACCTTACGTCCTAAGGTGGCCGAGGTCGGTACAGTTGTACCTGAACTCGCTGCTCTCTTTCACAACGTCTTTTATACTTTAGTACTTTACTTTAATACTTTTCAATGAAATGGCGACCTGTTAAAGATCGGTGACAACCTCTTGGAACAAACAACATACAACAAGACTGGGACGGGTGGCGTCGTCCTGTAATCCAGCTACTTGGAGGTCACGGATTGTGGATATTTATAGGCATGCACTGTGGATGCGATACTCCCTGGTGTGGATTAACGTCCGCACTAGTGAGTACTACTACTATCCGCAGTACTATCCTGATAATTAGACCAATTCGTATATACCAAGGAAAAAATGTGGTTCGGATTCCACTATAAACTGTAGGTCCCTTAGTTGCCATTAGCTGTTTGGGCTATTAATTAACAGCTGTGTCTAAGGAATGTCGGCCTTAGTCACTAACAAGACTACAAGATCGCGCCACTCATCCTTCACTCATCTCCATTCATACTTGGCTTAAAATACCTACATAGTATGGTCGCCATTTCATAAGAAAGTATAAAGTATGGTTTATTAATCTCATATTCATCGTGTTTCAAACACTTTTATTCACTCACTTGTAACAAACAGCTAGAATTAGTTTCACTGTCCATTCACCGCACCTCTTTTAAGAACATAAAAGTAAATAATAAAATAAGTAAACAAAAATGTAAACAAACATACTATATTGTCAATTGCATTGGCCATCTGTTGTTCATTAAATTAATCGAATAACGTTAACTTCCAAAACATGCAAGGCGTAGCCCTTTTGAAATCAGCCTGTGGGGCAGAGCCCTTAGGGAGTTAGTCCACATCAATACTTTTCGGCAAATCTATACACTCTAAGCTTCATTTTGATATGCCATATGCCTATAATAATTGTTAGTTATAAGTTATTGTTACTTATAATATGACTAGAGTTGTTCTGAAAAGCAGTTGTACTGAGAAACGCTTGATCAATAAAGGCATTTATATTATTATTTGATAAATTACCTTAACTGTTTACATAAAATTTGATTGTATAACTTTAATAATATAATAGATGTTTATTTTAGTAGGTAAAAAGATCTTACAAAGTTTCGTTCCAATATCTCAAGCCATTTCAATATGGCAGCCATTTAAAATCTTTAATTCCAAATTTCATGAAAACCGTAAATATTAAGAACATTGTTTTTCAGATCAGAAAGGTAGAGAATTTAAATCCAAATCAAATGACACCTTGATTGTTAAAATCGGATGATCCAAACAACCAAGTTATCAGTTTTTTTCTACATTCGGTTAGATAGGTCGCAATTTGATAGGACTTCCATATTGTTTATTATTTGTTATTTTACAGAGCAGTATGGTAGTCCTATTAAATTGCGTACCTGAATTTAGGAAAAAACTGATAACTCGGTTGATTGTCATCCGATTTTTAACAAACACAAGGTATCATTTGATTTGGATTTAAATTCTCTATCATTTTGATCTGAAAAACAGTTTTCTTAATATTTACGGTTTTCATGAAATTTGGCATTAAAGATTTTAAATGGCTGCCATATTAAAACGGCTTGAGATATTGGAACGAAACTTTGTTAGCTCTTTTTACCTACTAAAATACACATTTATACAAATTTTGAAATTTCTATCTTGTAAAATGCCCAAGATATAAAGAAAATTATTAAAAAAACACAAACAGACCGACAAACAAAAATCTAGGCATTTTAGACCCATACTGTACTTATATGGCATTTTATGTTTGACTTAGCCAATTTGGAAACGCCCTGTATAATATTCTACGGTGTGTTTATAATATAAACTTTCTAATATTATATTTTTACATTTTATTATTTCTATATTTCGTTTTTACACTAAAAGACATAAAATTCTTAAAAAGTCTATTTCAGCTTTATAATAGTATACATATTACAGTTGATATTACATACTAGCAGAGTACCCGTCCTTCGTACGGGGTTGGCATATAAGTTTAAAATGCTTATTGCAGTTATGCGTTTGTAATGGGGGAGGAGAAAGTTTGATAAAATTTGATTCTTTAAATTGACGGTATACTATGGTATTACCATAGACAAAAAGAATGAAATATAGACTGTCAGCCGTGCTGCGGTTGCCATGGTTACCATAGGTTCCGGCGCACACCACCATTACCATAGTTTACGTAGCGCGTACGCCGTAACTACCGTGGTGCTCCAAGCGGTGTGCGCCAGAACCTATGGTAAGCGCAGCACAGCTGACGGTCTATATTTAATTCTTTTTGTCTATGGTATTACACATCTACTATAGCCATAATGTTCTACCACTTCACCTAAAAAGTAATAAAAATAAATTATATAAAATTCTCAAAAAATCACAAATTATTCATGACATTAAAAACATAAACATAACTGTATGTTATGTTATGAGTTATGTTATGTTATCCACCCAACTCAAATGTAAATATTTTTGTAGATAGACTAGGTATATTAATTAAGTATTTAAGTAAAAAATGTGATAAGCTAATCATTGCAGGTGATCTAAATTTTGATGTATTAAAAAATGATCGCAAACATAGGCTATTGAAAGAGATGCTAAAATCAGAGAACATGAGGTACCTGGTCAGTTTCCCAACAAGAGTTACGTAAAATTCTGAAACCGCAATATACAATTTTTTGATAAAAAATATCAACTTATCCAGGGTAGAGGTAGAGGGTCTGATTACTTTTTACTTTCTCCCCCTATACCATAGTATATGGAGAAAGTATTGTTTTCGTCAAAATTTTTGAGTTTGAGTTTTGAGTGGATATATTCGTTTTGGGTCCCCCTGGACCCAAAAAGTGGTTTTCAAAGTGATGTCTGTGTGTGTGTGTGTCTGTGTGTGTGTGTGTCTGTGTGTCTGGATGTGTACAGAGCTAGAGACTACACCTGTGGTCCGATTTCGATGAAATTTGGTATGTAGGTTCTAATCCATGGTATCTCCAGGCGTTTTTTTCATTTTTTTTGAAATTTTGATTTTTAATGGGGATTTCCCCATAAAAACCCATAAAATACTGGAAAAATTGAATTTTCTCAAAAATGGCTTGAACGATTTTGATAAGAATTTAGTATGTTGTAGCCCTTTAAATTCTGAACAAAATGGTACAAATCCCATTTCTGTAAAAATTACGGTTCCAAAGTTATAGTAAATTATGTTATTTTCCCATAAAAACCCCATAAAATAACAAAAAATGGAATTTTAGACAAAAATCCGGTTTTGATTTAACATGGCGGGCATTCCAAATTTGATTTGTGTGAAATGCACCCATTCCTCAAATTGGAATGATAATTCAAAATTATCCATGTAATAGGAGAGAGAATTGAGTAGACCTTAATTTTATAGCCCTTGTGACACAACAAAAAAAAATATTTGAATTGAGATACCCTTAGGCTATATTTCTACAAAAATGGTGGCCCAAAAAGTTAATTTTTATGATTAAAGTTATGTAAAACAAAGTCATTCTATAAAATTGTACGAGTTTTAAAATAAAAGGGAAATAGCTGAAATAAGAAATCATTTAAGTAGCTCTTGTTGTCTCAGCTCCTTCGGAATGCAAATGCACAATGTAGATTAAATGTAGATTGTAATGATGTAAATGAAGAAGTCTGTGACCACCATTTTGTTTAGGATCCATAAGATTTCAATTTATCTGAACATTATTTTTAGTGTTACAAGGACTATAAATTGAAGGGTCGCTCAATTCGGTCTCCTGTGACATTAAAAATTTTGAATTGGTGGATTGGGTAGGGGTGAATTTCTAATAAATCAAATTATGAAATGCCCACCATTTTGGCTAGGGGTGAGATATCCACATCGGGTTTGCGTCATTTTGTTTTGACAAACCCTTCAAAATAAGGGGTCACTCAATAGGGGTTGCTATTTGAAAAAATAAGTGTACCCTCTACTTCCCACCTTGTTAAGGGTGTTTAAAAAATATCTTTGATGTAAAAAATTGTGGAACCTTTGTTAACAATGAATGCCACAATCAGAATATTTCTATCTATTTCGGTTTAAAAATTCAGATTTGTTTCCATACTTAATTTACACACCTCAGTACTTCTGGGATTAAGTTTTAGTAGGAGAGAGCCACTAAAATAATCAGTATTTGGTTAGCACTATTTTCCCCTATATCCAGTAATCTTCAGTGTGTAATCTTTGCTTAATACAGTAGAACCCCTCATATCCAGTCTTCGCTACATTGGTAATGGCCTCCCGCGACCACCACAACACCCGTCAGTGTAATTTGCAGTCGCTGCAACTTTGGTAATCGTCTCTCGTAATCGCGACAATACCCGTGAGCATAGCTTGAAGTCTCCGCAACTTCGGCAACATCAGTTATTGGCGACAGTGGTTATCGTCTGCCGCGACTACGGCAACATCCTCAATCGGTCTTTTGGTTAACCGATCGTGCTCGGCGTTATTGCCCCCAGACATTAAACAAGTAGACGGCAGGCACTAGGTTGGATATTCCGAGGTCGGATATGTGGGTTTCAACTGTAGTAACAACTGATGTTTTTCACTTTGTACTGTATATTTTAAAGTGTACTGTGGATGGCTTGTTATAAAGACATGTTACAGGTTTTTTGTTTACTTTTCCTTGTCATTTTGTTCAACCAACATAGTAACTTGGCATGCCAATGTTAAAAGCATACATTTGTACATACAAGCAAACATTGATCATAAGAGTAGGCCTATAGGATAGAATACATAGCGGATCCATCAATTACAACATATCTTTTGATCTGATCTCAAATTAGGGTAGGGAACATGAAAAAGAAGGTAAATTTGAAATGTATGAATTAAGGTATCGTTTTAGAAAATTCAGACACTAGGAAAGTGTGATCTTTTTTTCTATTCAAGCCAAAGGTCAAAGTCCCTAAAAATAGCTACCGTAGTCTGAAAACTATAAAAGAAACAGTATTTCTTTTATTGCAGGGTTTATACCTCCATATTCAACTTAAGTTCTTAGAATTGGTAATTTGAATGAAAAAAATGTTACCGTAGCTGGTTTACAAAATAAATAGAATAGAAAATGTATTACAAATTGTTCTTTCATTGTAAGACATTTATTGTGTTATTGCTGTAATTGAATTTGATTTAATAACTATTTTTAAAGTTATCCAAAATCATACTTACGCTGAAGTAAATCTTCATCTTGAACGATACTGTTGTGTCAAAGATAAATATTTCCTCTATTCTATGGCAATATTAATTTGTATTTAGTGTTATTTTACAGAAAAAAACTTGTGAAATATTTTAAATGTAAGAACACTACGATATGCCACGTCTCTTTCAATAATCCAGAAAAAGTGACAGATGTAAGCAATTAGTGCAATCAGTGACGTTTTTTGAGTAATGAACATCCATCAATATCAAGAGCAAATTACTATATAATTTTGCATATGTTTCAGAGTAGGCCTATGTAGTAGCTTATAATATTTCAACATATCTCTCTTAGACAAAATTTTTTTTATAATGTAAAAACAGCATTTGATGTCTTCATTTTCTAACTTCGGTCTAAAAAATAAAGCTTTTTTTGGAAGTACTGCAGAAAATACCCCCATCACAGCAAACCTATACACTAAGTGAATTTCCATTTGCCTGATTGGCTTTTCACCAAACTATTACTTTAGACTTTATCCCCTTTTTAAAAAACATTGGGTTTAACTGTATTTAAGTAACATTGAGTATTTAAGTTTGCTGCTACAGGAAAGCTAGTTATGAGGGTACTTTTTTAAGTGGCTTTGCGTTAAAATCTAGATTTAGCTTATCCGCGATGAAGCTCCACACCACTTACTGGCATCATTTGTGAACGGAATGACACCAATTTATTGTAGCTTGAATTGCTCTGTAGCAGTCATGTTGGCTTCACTGAATGTTAAAAAAATTGTTAAACGATATAAACTTTTGCCACGTTTGAGGTAAGGTCAGTAATACTTCTTTTTTACTACACAAAACATATCCTATGATAACATTCATCCCCAGATGACTTAAGGCAATGAATGCAATGCGAGGGGGTAAGGTACAGAAATAGGTTAAGTAAGGAGTGTAGAAATGGCCATGAAATCATTTTCCTTTATGGTCTTCTGTAAAAAAAAGCACAACTCCATCCGAAATGAACATTTTTACAGCAATTTTTAAACTCCCTAGCTTATTTCTGCGCTTTCTACGCTATTTTACATTGCATCAGGGTCATAAACTCCAGTCATCTGGCGATGAATGTTGGCATCAGATATGTTTATTGTAATAAATTACGTATTACTGAACTTACCTCGGATACGGCGGAAGGTTTGATTGTTTAAACAATCTTAAAACACACAGCGAAGCATACATAACAGCTAGAGAGCTACAATTTGAGGCGTTCTGTTCACAAATGATGCCAGTAAGTGGTGAGGAGCCTCGTTGCGGCGTACAAGCAAACTACGGAGTTATACGCAAACCCAGCCCTTACTTAAAAAACCGCCGTTGTAGTTATATATGTTTGTTAGTGAAATATTAAAATCTTGATCAAGCTAGACCAAATTTGAACAAAATATATCCATATACAAACAAACTACAACAGTTTACTAATCCTCCATAATAACATCAGTTTTAAATTCATAGTTTTTTTTATTGTTTGTGTAACCATGTGGCGCACAACAAAAGAAACAAAAACTATCATGGATATTATAACATAACAGTATGGATCATCATAATCACAAATGACATCACTGGCCCGATTGTAAACTAATATTAATTGTAACAACTGGTACTTTTTTGGCTATCAAATGTTTCTTTGTGACTTTCTAGCTCCATTTGTGTAAAATATAAACTAAAATAGGGTGAAGATTATTACCTCGTCTGCAGTTCCAAAATTGTAGTTTGTACTTACTTGTAGTTACATGTTTCGGCAGAACGCCATTGTCAAACTATCGTAGTACAGGAACACAAAATCCACTTATTTTAACTTCGTCAGGTAGACATTTAGTTCACATACACACGACGACACATACACGAAGACACATATTATTTTAAATGGATTTGAAAATATAAAAATGTTTATATTTGATCCAGTTTTCAATTGCAGAATTCAATCAATGGTCCTATACTACAAGATTTACGTAAAATAACAGCCTTTATACAGTCTTTGCATATTTAGTGCTTTTCCCCAAGCGTAGGGCCCTCCAGGTGTGGCCCCATCTTTTGCACATGCATAAGGCCGGCTCTAAAGGTAAAAAAAAGAATCAACTGGATTCGAGGACATCAGCCATACACTTCTCCCTTTAGTAAAACTCTAATAGGATTATTTTTTTAATTGACAAAGATCGGCTCATTTTGTATTGATTGGTTCACTACCTTACTTCTTGCTTTATGACAGCTAAATCCCAATGTGGCTAAGCAAAATGTGTCTTGTGTAAAAAAAATGTGAATTTTGTATTTCAAGTTAAAATAAAAAAAAGTAGTTCCACACCATTAATTTACTTAAAATAGTTTATTGAATAATGCAATGTCATTAATTAGACTGTACAATATGATAATAATACGTAGATATTAAACTCTCTACCGTGAAAGTGTAATCATAATATAATCTGCTCAAAGAGTGTCGCAGGAACAGCATTTTCAACCAATAAATGCAACCAAGCAAACTAGCTTGGTTGAAATTGTTGTCAGTAAACAATTTTTGTGTTAATTGTTTTGTGTTTCTTGCACTAGAGTTTTAAGACTGTTATGCTGACATAAATCTTTATTCCCTCAGAGTTCGTCCAACTACTGTAACTCTATTCACAGGGGCTACCGCTGCATTGCTTGGGCTTGCTCCTTCACCTCTTCTATGAGTGAACAACTACGAGCGATCGACTCCTGCTGCGACGACAGGTGTGAAACAATCAGTTGCAGTTTCTTAATGTTCTGTAAAAAAAATTAAATTTTTAAATATAATTAATTTGATCATTAATTGCATCTATCGAGTCTATGAGAATAATTTTATTTGTAGTCGGCCTATTTATAATAGGTATAGGTGGCTATGTTGTCAGAGATTTCTTCAACTAAGAAAACCCACTCTATCCCTTCATAGCTTTGAAACCAATGAAACCATAGTTTTACAACAGTTTTTAAACCCTTACAGCTCCAGTTATTTTTGTTTAATTTACTATGCAAATTTTTATCAGGACTACCCTTTATCTTACAAACACAAAAATCATAATTCTAGTGAAACAAGTTTTTTATGGACACACGCAAACGACACAGTAAGGAAAAGGAAAACAGTCAAACTATTTGACCAGACTTGCAGTCCACCCATCCGATCAAACACGAGCAATCCACCCATCTGTCAACCCAAACAGTCCACCCATCCGATCAAACACGAGCAGTCCACCCATCTGTCAACCCAAACAGTCCACCCATCCGATCAAACACGAGCAGTCCACCCATCCGATCAAACACGAGCAGTCCACCCATCTGTCAACCCAAACAGTCCACCCATCCGATCAAACACGAGCAGTCCACCCATCCGATCAAACACGAGCAGTCCACCCATCCGATCAAACCCAAGCAGTCCACCCATCCCGTCAAACCAGAGAAGTCCACTCATCCGGTCAAACCAAGGAGTCCAGATTTAAGTCATACTAGCTGTTACCCACGGGCTCCACCCCATTTTACTACATTAGTATTAATAAAACTATTGATTGGTTAAGTTAAGATGAAATAAACAAAGCAGAATACAAACAAATAATAACAGCTGAGGTATTTTTAACATTAGGTAAATGGAAAGTTCCCTTTGGAAAGCAATTACGACCTTATAGGGCAACTTATGAAATAATGGATAATTTTGCGCAAGGTTTCTCGTCATGACGAACATTTTAAGTATATGGTTTATGGGGGTGTGACTTGTAGTTTTCTCAAAAGTTCAAAGTTCATGGGTACTTTTGGCTTTATATATAGACTAGCTGTACCCGCGGGCTTTGCCCCGTTTAACTTCATAAGTATTCGCATGGCTCATTCACGTCCTGGTTGAAGTTCGTTCGCTACGCTCACTCACCTTTAGGTTGGAGCTCGTTCGCTGCGCTCACTTGCCTTCAGGTTAGCTCGTTCGCTACGCTAACTCACCTCCAGGTTGAAGTTCGTTCGCTACGCTCACTCACCTTTTGGTTGGAATTAGCTATTGTCATAAATAAAAAAAAAATAATAGTGCTGCACCCTGTTGGTAATCCTTGTAACTTTTATGCTATTGAACATCATAAAACAGAACCAACTTGTTTAATTGAAACAGCTGATAAGATTCATTAATTCCTTTTAAAAATGAAAAATCATAAGGTTAACATGGGGAACTACAGAGCCACTGGGGCGGAGCCCGAAAGGATATTTGGGATAAGAATATGCTTTAATGTTAATCGGGAATGTGAGCTATCATCATGCCAAATTTCAGCCCAATCCGTCCAGTAGTTTATGCGTGATTGAGCAACAAACACACACACAAACTCACAAACTTTCAGATTTATAATATTAGTAAGATGTCAACTGATTTTATCAAAAGGGTTGTACATGTAATGGCTCCTTTACTGGCCCACTTGTTTAGCTGCTGCCTTCTTGAAGACATATTTCCTGATGTTCTGAAAACAGCCAGAACTTTAAAACTTTAAACTGCCTGTTGTTTTAAAAGGGACCTAGAAGCTTACTAGCAAGCTATAGGCCGGTGTCCCTGATACCTGTGCTGGGCAAGATATTTGAAGCCTTAATGTTAAGTCAGATAAGTGAGCACTTTAAAACCCATAACCTACTAGTCCCTGCTCAGCACGGCTTATGTAAGGGTAAGTCCACAGTCACTGCAGTGGGCTGCCTTTTGCAGGTTAATGCTTTTGAAGACAAAATGTCAACCTCTGTTGTTTTATGTGATCTGTCATGCGCTTTTGATAGTGTGCCGCGACCTACTTGTCAAAAAGCTTTTAATGTATGGTGTTGGAGTCTGTCCGCTCAAAATGTTTGATTCCTACCTTGAAAATAGGTTTCAGGTTGTATACCTATTCAGGTGGCTGGGGATAAATCAAACACTCAAGCGGTTAAGCATGGAGTCGCCCAGGGCTCAGTTCTTGGGCCTTTTTTATTCATTGTTGCCATGAATGACTTGTATTATGGCGTCTCAAATGATATATTGATGTAGGCGGATGATACTGCTATTTTTGCGAGACATATTGATCATATTATGGCAAAAATTCTGTTAGCACATTGTTAAATGAAACGTCTCAATGGTTTGATGGAAATAAATTGGCTTTGAATGCAGCCAAAACTCAAGAAAGCATGTTTATTCTTAATAAAAATGTTTCCAGTGAGTCTGTAAGATTGCTGGGTTTCACCCTGAATTCGGAGCTTGCGTGGGATGACCACATAGATACACTTTGTGTAAAATTAAGTAGAGTAATGCATCTTTTGAGGAAGTTGACCTCTGAACTACCTTTTAACTTTCTGAGACTTGCTTTCTTTTCTTTTTTCCAGGCCCATATTGTATATGGCACACGCCTGTGGTGTCACTCCCCGCATGCTCAGAAACTACTGTTCCATCAAAAAAGGCTATCGGGGGTAATATGTCAGGTTCACTATCTGGAGCATTGTAGGCATTTGTTTGCTAAACTTCGTATTATGACTGTTGTGAATGTCTAAATTTATCAAAATCTATGTTAGCTATTAAGGACATGGGAGAGGATCTTGTTTGCAACACTGGTGCAACATAATAGCTGAAACAGCTGTGGCAATTATTATTGCTAACCTCAAAATCAAAATAACCCATTTATAATGCAGTGTAATGTTTATTTTCCTATCATAAACAATGTATATCAAATCGTTTTTTGGATGGATATATCCGTCTTTAACCCAGAAAAGAAATTTCTCGGGACAGATATTTCCATTTTCAGTCAGGAATTAAACGAAGATTGACGTCCCTGGAAGGGTAAAATTCCTGGATTTTACCACCACTATTGTCTGTGGCCACAATAAAATACACTAGAGGTCGTCCTATGTTCGAAAACTCAACCAAAAATGTTTAATGTACAGACTTCTCTATTTTCACCCCACACTCTAAATAAAATATGTGATTGGAATTTCTTCCATTTGTTTTGATTTTCTGTTCATATTTAGTTGTTATTTCATCACCAGCATGGCAACCCATAAGACTCAAGTTAATTTTTTTATAATTCTTAAATACAATTTTGTGCTTATTTTCGAGCCTATTTTAATTTATAAAGGGATTCTGCACATCCACAGAAAAATATTTTTCTAACAGTATGTATAGATTTCCCTGCGATGCACACAAGCTGAGAAAAAAAGTTTTAAAGAAACATGCTTGCCTATTATGAAATGAAATGAAAAAGTGCTTTATTAACACAAAAATAAACTGCATATATACATACAACTTATAACTAAACATAATCTTCTGCATAACAAGAAAGAACAAATTTAACTAAAAATAGCACTTTACAGCAATGGTCATAAGACCGTCTGCCGGGTTGACAACATTATCTTTTATGGCAACATTTTCTTTTAATACGACTAAAATGTAAAACTATTTGTAATGAGCTATAATATTTATATTGTTTTGCTGCTAGTCTTGTACGTTGAATTCTAAAACCAAATCCCATCTATACTTCCAAGCATCTCTCAGAAAATTTGCCAGCGAACGCCAATCCTTACCATTAAGGAAATCTATAAACTCTGAGCGAGTTAAAAGAGCTTTCAACAAAGAGCTCCTGATACGTATTAAGTATAGATGTACACATTATTTATAAACAGTGTGCACATGTTTTTGACCTATGGACAGTAACCAAAACCTATTTCCTGCTGGTAAGAGCTCTTCCCTCGAGCACGGACTTGCAGTCCATTCGGGGGAATACTATTCTTACCCTAATAATGTATTCCTGTATTTATAAAGGTGAATAAAATGATTTTTGATTTGATTTTGATTTGAATAGCCATTTATTTCTAATTTGGGTTAAAATTGGCCAACGAGCAACAAAATGATAAGTGTCCTCATTCTCATTTAGATTACATAAAGAACATATAAAATTAGCGTCTGTCATCCAAGGTTTAAAATTTAAGGAAATAGTCTCTGTCCGTACTTTGAATATCCATCATCTAGCCATATCAGGAACGTTATCTGATAGATATCCATTATCTTCAAGGTCAAGATTCAGTGAAGCATAAGTTGTGTGGTATCGTGAGGCCAATGCTGCCTGGACTAACCCCCGCCTGCTCTCCCCCTTACTGCCTCTACTACTGATAACAGGTGTCGCTGGGTATCCTCAATGGAATTCACATCAAAAGATAATTCAATTCCATGTTTACTTCCAAGACCCTTCCAATCTCTGCTCCAATTAACATTTTCACTTATTATTTTCTTTGCTAATTTATTTGGTAGACGATTCGGCGGCAGTGACAGAGCATGTATGATATAACGAGCATGCATACTGAGCGTATAAATGTACTCTTTTTCTATTCCAGTTTCGAGATACAACGCATAGCTTGGAGTATTTTTTGCCAATCCTAAAATTTTCTTTACAAAAAAACAGAGAGTCCCGTCTATATAATCACTTTCCCATAAACCCCATATTTGACACCCATAACAAAGAGTTGCTCTGACAATTGAAAAATAAATAGTGAATTTTTTGCTTAAAGGTACATTTTTTTTGTTATTTAGAAGTGTATTCCAAATACTGTTAATTGCTAATTTTGAAGAGCTGCGCTTGTTTTTTAAATGCAACCCCCAGGATAGTTTAGAATTTAAATTTATTCCCAAATATTTATAATCATTAACCACATTGATTCTTTCACCTCGAAAATACCATTTGTCATTTTTCCTCAGTTTCCCTACTTTCCTAAAAACCATAATCTTTGACTTACTTAAGTTCACAGTCAAGTTCCATTGTTGACAATATTTCTCAAGGTCATTTATCATTAACTGCAGACTAGTTCCCGTCGGAGCCATCAACACAATGTCGTCAGCATATAACAAAGCCTTAATTTGAACATCTTCAAAAATGCAGCCTCCACTTAATCTATAATGTCATTTACAAATAAGTTAAAACACAAAGGATTCAAAATATCTCCTTGTTTTAGACCTAGGCCTGTTTCAAAGTAGTCTGTAATTCCATTTATACACCAGACAGCTCAGCTCATCTCTGTCACAGCTGACGAAGTACCATTATATAAATCCATTAAAGCACTTAACATATGCGTAGAAATACCAAGGCATGATAACTTATAAAACAAAGCTATTGTACTGAAAGCTGCGGTAAAATCTACAAAAAAAGTATATAATTTAAGTTTGCCATTTATGATATTGATCCATGAATGTGATTCACCTACAAATTGTTTAAGATAAAATGTTATTTGTTATAACCTTATTTAGCTACGTAAATCAAATCTGTTAAATACTGTACCTCAGAAAGTATGATTTATCTATGACTGTACCTATTCGATCAGTGGTCGTTTCCAAATTGCAACTTAAATGTAAACCTAAGACTTTCTCTGTATTATTTGATCAGTTGTCATCATCCAATTTTTTCCTTTGTAGGCTACTGTGTTTAGGTCGTGGCTTGATTTGAACATATGCTATGATTCTTTGTTTTGTTTACACTTACGTTGTTATTTTGTAACCATCATGGCAACCCATAAGACCAATGTTAAAATTTAAAAACTTTGAGTTACTTTAAAATTATATAGGCATTATCAAAAATTGATATTGGTTACGTCTAAACCATCATAACATTTGACAAAACAACGTAAGTTTTGCTAAAATATGTTCAGCTGTTATTGAGAATAAGTGTTATAAAGATTGCATTGAAGTTTATCCCAAAGAGCTTCGCTTCGCTCCACTCAAATAAGCCTAGTTGAATTACAAATTGTTGTATTGATTTTTATTATGAATTGTAGTTATTTGCTTTCTTTAAAACAAAAGCTTATAATTATTCACTGGGTTGTAAAACGTCTTTTTTACGGTAAACTTTGACTTGTACATTTTGAATTTGGAAGTAGGGTGAAAAGAAGAAGGCTCTAATTCAAACAAAATGTTTGTGCCGTGAATACCAAATGCAGCCAACATAGAAAAATACTGTACTTTTCTGTTAAACTTAGTACTGTGCAATCCAGTAGTTGCAGTCTGCATATGTGTTGTTAAAAGAAGGTTTGAAACAAAATCTCTAATAAATAGATTTCAGGATATACTTACATTTTCAGTGTTTTCTATAGCATGCTCCTGTAGTGCTAATGAACGTGTACTCTGCATCATAATCTAAAAAAAGGGGAATTGTAATACAGTACATATTCAAAGCTTATTTGATAAATAAGTAGGCTATAATTAAAAAGCATACATTAGTAAAGCGTAAACTATACAAAACATTGTCATTCGCCTATTGGGTCTGATGATTATTGGACTGTCCAATCAAAATCGACCACCACTTACCTTCTTTTTTGTATATTTACCGTCTTGTGAGTAACAGTAAGCGTAAATATATGTTTTAAGTGTTATAAGACGTTTCTTTTATTTACTTTCCGTATAAAATCTTTAAATCTAGTTCCCATAGTACATAGTAGTATTTTTTTAAGTTTTAAAACTTTTTTCTTCAATAGCAAATTTGCTCAGAATAAAAAAAAAAAACATAATTTTTAACAACTCTAGTCCACGCACAGACCACTGAGTTTGAGGTCTATGTAGACTCCTTTCCATTAGGCTAGACATTAGTTATTATTACTTGCCAAAACAAGCATATTTCAATTGGGATGTGGAAAGCGAAAACCAATAAAATATCAGTTACCAAGTAATTCGGAATTTAATAAGGAATTCAAATATATGTATATATATATATATATATATATTATATATATAACTCAAAATAAAAAATTCCCGACAAGAGGTTCCTATTCGCTTTCCACATCACAATTAGTATTTTAGTTTATACAGTGGTACTATTAATAAATTTTTTAATTTAATTTTACATAAACAAAGTAGTAATGCTTCTAGACTATCTTCGTATTTTAATCTTTGAAAAATTGTTACTTTTCTGTATACTTATTGTGGAAGTAAAACTGATTTGATTTGATTCATTATTATTTTTTCCCTAAAGTTTTAAATTAAGACAATACTAGTGGAACCCCGTCGAAATCGACGGTTGATCTTGAGGTTTTATGTAAATTCAGCTAACTGCGATGGATAGAGTGAAGTCATTAAAATCTTAGCTAAATGAAGGGAGGATAAGCAATAATAAGTATGACGATTGTGTTCCTAAAAAACGTGATTAATGAATACGTTTAACACAATATTTCCTACCTTTTTATCGGCTTTAGGTTGCCCTAAGGGTTTTTTAGGAGTCTTATAATTGTTTGTTCATGAGTTTGTTTCATACCAAAGCCACTTTCACTATATGGGAGAATGAGTTCATATAATTAGTCTATCATGTTACGGAAAGAGTCAATTTTATTACTAACCACTAATTCCATCTGCTTTAGGAAAATCATTCAGATTGTATCCTGATTTATAAGTAATCTTCATCTTTGGTCATAAAAATACAGAATTCAATCAGCATATTAAATCAGTTTTTTTGTTTGATAAAAATATCTTATTCTCCAGAAAGCAGTAACATTCTTACATTCGATCTCTGCAATTTTAATTCCTTCTCTTGCCACATCGACCCATGTATTTAATCATCCTGTTCTTACTTGATAATTCATTAACTTGTGGGGTAGCTTTGCCTTGGCCATATAGATCACATAAAGCTGTGCATGTATTTCGTGGATTGGAATTAACCATAATTGTAGGAAATTTTATCACAAATCTTGAACATTTGCGGAACCAAATCCATAACCTAGTCCAGCCTTGGTAACAAATTATGCAAATGCGATGAGATGTGATGAAACTGTTGTGTTTCTGAATGTTTTGTATGTAGTGAGGTTTAGATACGTTGTTCGACCTCTACATGTGTACATCAAAGTAAAAACTGTGTACACATTTTTTTTTAAATACCTGAATTGACATTAGTTCACCTACTTTACCAAAACCATAAACTCCGTAGTTAGTCTATTCCAAAACTTGAACACAGCTCTCATCCTCAACGTACTCATCTATGACACAATTTTCAACCCTATTATCAAAAACTGTTATACCAATAAATGAATCTCAGATGTTCTTTCTCGAATTTAAAAATAAATGGTGATTGAAAGTAGGAAAAAAAGGCAAGTGCCAACCTTACAATATATATAAGCTAACCCGATAAGGAATAGTTATATGTTCCTTTGAAATTATTATGTCACACTTATTTCATAATTTAAAATTTTCTAAGAGCAATAAAGCATAGATTTTTGAACAAAACATTTAAAATGTATCATAATGTTATCATTTTGTTGAAACTATAAAAAACTTGCCATGCAGTGGAGAATCCATTTAAAATCATAAATAATAATGTAAACATTTAATTTTGACAGTTTCAGTAGACCTTTGAATACAATTTTAATATTAACAGCTGGTTCATTAAAAGTAGTGTAAAATTATCCATATGGTCGAAATGTAAACAAAATTGCAGAGTGAACTTTAAAGGCCTCTGGGGCAGAGCCCCAAGGAAATTTACCTCGTTTATCTTTTGAGGGCTCACCTACTGACCAATACCTTTCTTAGACACCCCTACCAAATTAATTTGAAACTGTTTTTCTTTGTGACAGCTAATTTGAGAGAACGGCTGGGCGTAGAAACTCGGTAGAGGTGTCTAAAGAAAGGTCTTGGTCTGTAGATGAGCCATCAAAAGAGAAACATGGTGAATTCCCTTGGGGCTCTGCCCCAGTGGCCTTTTGCCGTTCTCTCAAAATAGCTGTCACAAAGAAAAACAGTTTCAAATTAATATATAGATTTGTGTAGGTTGAGAAAATTATTATTTAGAGTGGTTTAATAGCGGCTACTATTAATGTAGATTGGCATAACCTATCTACTCAGATTTATTTTTTTAGACATATTTTGTGTGTGTTTTTTTACTACAGTGGCATTTTTTACGTTTTGAAAGGGTCACGGTCCAAGCCCTGGTCTTGTTACTACCTATCTAATAATTGCAATAAGTTCTTTAATAGGGTTAAAACTGCATCTAAATCAGTTATCTTTAGGCTACGAAGTCTTGCATCTTTGCATGAGTTAGTCCAGATAATCAAGTTATACTGAAATATGAAAACTTACATTAGGGTTTATAATGCTGTAAAAAAAAATCCCTTGCCATCCAAATAATAATGATTGTACAACAAGAATAGTTGTTTACTGGACTTTAAACCAGGTATGAATGCCTGTGAGATACCAGAGCCTCGGATCATAACAAAATAAACACATCTTATTCCCAGAAAAGATTTATTACAATAATTGAAACAAATAAAATAACAATTCTCCGTCAAAATATCTAACCAAATTTCAATGTTAGGCCTATTACCATTAAAAGCTTTAAATTACAACACACAATTTTTATCCAATCAATGAGTCCTTCTATCTAGACACCTAGGGGCTCCAACTAAATAAGATCCACTATGTGGTACTCATCCGAAGTGTTCCAAAGAGAGCTCGGTCCTGGAGTCTGAGGTAGCATCTGGGTAGACACCATCCACACAAATCGTCGACGCAGGAGCAGGACTGCTAGGATCAGCAACACCACGACTCCTCCGTTGGTAGACCAGCTTCCAAAGTATCCTTCGCCTCGGGCTGTAACGTCCAAGGACAAGGGCAGCATCTGATGTTACCGAAGCCAGACTAGTAGAGCTGCACTTCCGGAAGTAATCCACATTCCAAAGGCCGGAATCCTCAACTTGAGGGTAAAAAACTTGAAGATCTACTTACTTCTTTACAGAAACAAGAGCACAAGATAAAAGACTTTGCATTGGCTAGGGACCCGTACTTATAACCTCTGTTGCCAAAGGCACTAAGTAAAACGAACATGTGCAAACCTACACAAGTCTAACACATCCTCTGTTTTAGCAAGGACTGCCTTGGCACACAGAGATATCTACAGCAATGTCTCTCTCTCTCTCTCTCTCTCTCTCTCCCACACACTCTCTGTCTTTCTCTATCACTGACTATGTCCAAACCAAGGCCACACTAAAAAAACAGGCCGTAATGCTCATCAAGCATGACGTCACGATAGAAGACGGCTATGACGTATAAGTATTTATTTATTTATTTTCGACTGAAAGATTCAAACAAGCAGCTGATCACAAACGGCAAAATTACGTCATTGCCGTCTTCTATCTTGACGTCATGCTTGACGAGCATTACGGCCTGTTTTTTTAGTGTGGCCTTGCCAAACCCCAATAATAACCTGTCCTGCTTATACTGAACTAGCTTAGGCCTATTTGAAATTAAAACAACGCTTTACTTTAAATAGTATTTTAAGCATTTTCTTAAACAGTAGAATAGTGAAAAAGATTTCCTGTAACAAACCAATTGTTACAATGCAAACTTTATTCATGTAACAAATTAGCCTAAAAGCCATTCCAGCTAGCCTTTGAATAAGAAAACAAAAATGATCACTTGGTAGCCTACACACAAAACCTTTAGGCTAATGTGGTAAACAACTACCAGTATCTTGGTAAACCTTGGATGTAATCAGTCACAGGCTCTTTAGTACCTATAGGAATAAGCTCCGCTGTTATCAATTAATTATGGTACATTATTTATTAGGCTAATCAAAATAAAATGTGTTGATGTTAATTAAATCACTAAGCATTTAAAATTTAACATGGCCGTCACTGAACATGATGTGTGCCGGCCGGCCAACTATGTTAAATGTCTACCGTGTTATGTATGTGTGTTTAATGTAGGCCTATTTAACAAAATTGATGACATTTGATGAATGAAATTTAACGTTCCATTTTTAAAATGACTACTTAGTAGTCAAAACTAGTCAATTGAAGTTCGACTGAGGAATTGACGACGTCAAGGTACGTACAAATGTAACAAATGGTAACCGGTAAGTAATAGCTTACTTCAAGAACAAGTGATTACGGTACTCAACCTGGAGTTTGTGTTGGATGAGGCTGTGCAGAATCTCATTATAATCGTTAAACGTCCTCTCCCCGTTGAGAAGCAAAGGCAAATCTAAAAATTAGGCACCTAATTGATTCTATTTCTGTTAGGGTTTGTGTAACTGGGGCCTTTGTGCAGCAGTTATTTATCTTATGATAAAAACTGTACCCTATTCTAAGTTAATAGTGGTAAACAGTTTCAAATACTTTTTAATTAAGTAGGCTAGGAGGCAAATTTCGCATCAGTGTATTGATTGGACGGGTAGGCTACAGTTTCTTAACTGAGCTACGATAATATCGATTGGAACTTTTAATTGAAAATATTGATTATTAATCGCTATTTTTAACTACAGTATTTCAATTATAAAATGATACTGTCATGGACTTCAAGGACACGTGGCAACCAAACAAAATAACAAGAAAACTTTTAAACATTAGCCTATATTTGTTAGTTGATATTTTTTTAAAGACTGTGACTATGCAAGTCAAAACTAACATTGATTACCTCATTAGATTTTGAGCCACGTTGGATTTGTCTTGCTAATGAGGCAATGTTATTGACATTCACTTGGACTCTATCCGCCAATCTTGATTTAGATTCTCCAAAGAGAGACCTAGCACTGGTACTTGATGCTGAAGCCATGATTATGAAGAATTAATGATGACTCAAAAAATCTATATCTAAAAACATTGCATGTTTTCAATATTGACAACGTTTTGGCACAATAAACTTAGATAACTTATCAACTTTCAGTGTTAACCGTTGTGTTTGGTTTTGGTTTGATGCCGATTTCGATTCGATTTGCAAGCAGACGACAGATCCAACAACAAGCAGAAGCTAAATAATTGTTTCTAATCTGCTTTCTTTAGAAGGCTTGAATAAATATCACGTAGCTTCACTTAGTCAGTGCTGTTTTTCTAAATAATATTTTATGAATTATGTAATTCGTTCTCTCTAATGGTTAACTGGGACGGGTGGCGTCGTCCTGTAATCCAACTACTAGGAGGTCACGAATTGTGTTTTTTATTATTTATAGGCATGCACTGTGGATACGATACTCTCCAGTGTGGATTAACGTCCGCACGGGTGAGTACTACGACTATCCGCAGTACTATCCTGATAATTAGACCATTTTGTAATTACCAAGGCAAAAATGTGGTTCGGATTCCACTATAAACTGTAGGTCCCTTAGTTGCCATTAGCTGTACGGGCTATTAATAATTAACAGCTGTGTCTAAGAAATGTCGGCAAGACTACAACCAAGATCGTGCCACTCATCCTACACTCATCTCCATTCTTACTTGGCTTAAAATACCTACTTTGTATGGTCGCCATTTCATAGAACAGTATTAACAGTATATAAAAAACTTAGAAAGATTTCATTGGTCTTTAAAAGGTGGCCGTGGGATGACACCATACCATTTCTTTACATAATATTGATTATATCTCCTAAATGGATCCTTTATTTTAGGGCTCTGAGGTGCGAGTAGTTCGTGTTTGTCCCACCGCAGCGCTTCTACATGAAAATCGTTTCTATTCCAGGCTGCTTTTAGCGAAGGAAAGTAACTATCACTGATTTCCTATTGGCCAAAGGGAAAAGCTTTGCGCAAGGCGTGCATAACCTTGGGACAGTTTTTTTACTAACGTGGTAGTTCCAAGGGGAGCAGTGCGCGAAACTAGCGGCTAGTCCCTGCCCACCAAATCTGTTCGGGAGCGAAACTTCTACCCTCCCTCCAGCTGAATTTTTATTCCAGGATTAGTTTTGCCAACAGTGTCATTTGAAGGCTTCTGATTGACTATAATAAAGGTTTACTAATTGAAAAATTAATTTTTTAATTATAAAATTAAACTGTCATAACCAAACCAAACTAACCAGACTTGCTGATAATGAAAAAATCCGAGACAAAAAAATAGTGCCACGGGCGAGATTCGAGCCCGGCACTTTCAGTTTATCAGCCCGGCACTCTATCCACTTCCACTATACCCGGGGCTATAGAATACAACCGAGGCCGATGGCATCATGCCGTAGCGTTGCGGTAATGGTGTTCCCTCAGCCAATCAGAAGCCTCCAAATAACAGCTGGGCTGGCGGGAGGGTAGAAGTTAAGTTTCGCTCCCGAACAGATTTGGTGGGCAGGGACTAGCCGCTATAGTTCGGCCGCTTAGAAAACGACCTGCGCGCTAATGCTAAACCAATGCTGGAGGAGGTAGTTTTCTAAGCGGCCGACCTATAGTGTGCGGGCGAATACCACTCCCATGTTATTCTTATGGGAAAACATGTGATTAGATAGTTACATTTATTTTAAAAACCGTTAGAGTTATTGACTTAAATTTTTTTTTATTCATTCCTTAGATTGTTTTCTATTATTTCATGCTATATAAACAAGAAATTAGGTATAGTTTTTAAAATATAAAATTAAATAAATATTTCTAATTTTTAATTGTGCTTTTTTTTAAATAAACAATTTCTTTTTAAAGTAAAATTAATTGTAACATTCTAAAAATGCATGAAACTATTCACCATGGTAACAGGAAGTATTGTGTAAAATTTGGGCTTTATAAGTTACGTAATTTTCTTTAGAATGGTACCTAAACTTATAAAAGAGTGAAAATTTAAAAACGTACGTTTTCATGAAAAACACTTTGCAAATTTTTATCCCCTTTTTTCAAAACTTTTATTATTTTTTTTATTTCATTAACATTTGAAGTTTCATAAAATGTCCATGGTAACACAATATCTTTGGTAGTTTTTTTTTTTTAAGAGCATCTTTAGTGGAAAAACACAAAATCCTGTCACGACCATAACAGACGTTTAAATGAATATTAAAAATAGTCAATATTATTTTTATAACTATGTTTTGCTATAAACTAATTTACTTTTATGACCATTATACAATAAAAAGGTCCCTGAGCTTTTGGTATATTTGGTCTTTCTAGAAAAAAATAAAAAAACTCAAAAAATTGAAAAAAAAGCCAATAAAATCTTTTTAAGTTTGTATAACTCCGAAAAAACTTACCTGAGACCCGAAAAATCGTTGTTTGTATAGAGGTGTACTTCTTTTGTGTATAAAACATTGAAATATGACGATATTTTAATTTTTGAAATTTGTATGATAGAAATCGTAAACGTGATGGTCAGGGACAAGCGGTACGGTCGTGAATTTTCTGAAACAATCTAAATCTTTCCAAACAATCCTTCAATTATACTGTTAGTTATAATAAAAATATGTGTTTCAATTGAACTAAACTGTTCAATTTACAATTATATTAAAGTTATTGTCACGACCAAACACACTATAATCCATAAGGCTGGATTGGTCGTGAAAAATCGCGATGGTCGTGAAACTTTGGTCGTGAAATTACGTGTTATTTGGCTCTGTTCTGGCGGTAGCCCTGCACCTCATGTTCGAGGATACAAAGTGGACTTCTAGGTTAATTTAGCAATTGAAATATCTTATAAACAAAAATTAACACCATGTCTACTTCACCGAATGACTATGTACGGTCATGAACACACCAAAATTACAAAAAACACAATCTTTCCTTTATTAATCTTGTAATTCCTCCTTTCAACTCGAAACGACCGGCACTACAATCCTGACGTACACCCCGAACTAGTCTCTAAAACCAACTGACTCCATCGACGCCAGGCTTGCCACTGTCGTGCTCCAAAGTTGAAAATTTTTCCCAAATGGTGTGACGCCAAATCGAGGGACAGACTTATTTTGTCATGGTAGTCAGTTTGCAATGACAATAAAATTATAATATGCTCCTTTTTTGTAAGTTTAATAACCATTGATGACATAAAAATATGGCTTTATACAGGGTGTCCCGGAACTCTCTACCAATATTTTAGAACATTGATCCTGGGTAAGAAACGTACCTAAATATCACATTTAAATTGTCCGGAAGTCCTTAGTTACTCACACAGCCGCCATTTTGTTTTTTTAAGTTATTAATTTTTTTCTAAAGAATGGTTAAACATACGAAATGGAAACTTTGCACAAGCATTTACGACAACTAGACAAAGCTACAAAAAAATTATGAGGATTTTTCAAATTCATAAAACAAAATGGCGGCCATTTAAAATGTTCTTTCTTAAATAACTAAAAAACCATTGATTTTACAAAAATTTTAAATGGCCGCCATTTTGTTTTATGAATTTGAAAAATCGTGATAATTTTTTGGTAGCTTTGTCTAGTTGACCTAAATGTTTGTGAAAAGTTTCTGTTAAATATTTAGTAATTCACCTAAGGACATTTAATAAAATATTTAATATGAACTAAACCAAAAGGTAAGCACTGTGTACTGTGAGAGAGGTGAGTCTAAACTGAACTGACTAGTACGAAGTGCTGTAGTGAACTTTGGACAGTGATGTCATCATATCAGCTGTTGTATCCTTTCAATAACTGAACTAAAAACTTGACTTGAATGTTAAAACTACTTGATTAATTGTTTATATTTGACTGTATATAGTTCATATGTTATTAAATAAATATTTTATTAAATGTCCTTAGTTGAATTACTAAATATTTAACATACCGGCCCCCCCTGAACCCCTGGGTTCTGAAAACAACACAAAAAATGAGAAAATCAATAAAAAAGGGGGGTGGTAACTCCTCTTCACTATGCCATAGGAAGGACAGACACCTTTGTCACAGGACGAGAGAGGTGTCCACTTGCGGTCTTCAGGTGCACGACCCGTACTATTCCATCAGTACCAGGTGAAACGGAGAGAACTCGTCCAAGCTTCCAGGAGAGTGGAGGCAAGTTGTCTTCATGAATGACAACCAAGTCATTGACTTCAATATTCTTCTTGGGGTTGACCCATTTATTTCTCTCTTGAAGAGTGTACAGATACTCTTTCTGCCAGCGAGCCCAGATATGTTGACTGAACTGTTGGACTACCTGCCAGCGTTTTAATCGGTTGATAGGAATGCTACGCAAGTCAGGTTCAAGAGGTGTCATAAGAGGACCACCTACTAAAAAATGACCTGGCGTCAAAGCTTCTAGGTCCGAGGGATCAGAAGAAAGAGGAGTTATAGGCCTAGAGTTCATCATTCCTTCAATACGGGTGATTAAAGTCGAAAACTCTTCCAGTGACAGGGTCTGTTGTCCAATGACTCTTATTAGGTGAAATTTCACACTTTTGACGGCCCTCTCCCAAAGGCCTCCCTGATGAGGTGCATGTGGAGGTAAGAAGTGAAATTTAATATTGAAATTCTCAGCGTAGCATTGTACTGTGGAATCCTTGATTAAATTTTCAAAGTTGCGTCTGAGTTTTTCGGATGCACCTGTGAAATTTGTAGCATTGTCACAGTGAATATCTGAAACGATTCCTCGTCTGGAGACAAATCTGGTAAGAGCGGCTAAATAGGCATCCGCTGTTAGGTCGGTTACTACTTCTATGTGTACCGCCTTAGTAGAGAAGCAAATAAATATACAAATATAAACCTTGATAGGTTGAACTCGTCTTAGTAGATGTTGCTTCACAAAGAAGTGTCCTGCATAATCTACACCAGATATGGAAAATGGCCTTGAAGGTGTAACTCGATTCATAGGTAATTCCCCCATGAGTGGAGAAGAATGAGGAGGTTTACATCTGAAACATTTTATGCATTTAAAGATCCTAGATCTTATTAAGCTTCTAGCACTGAGAATCCTGTACTTGTTTGCCAGCATAGCCTGAGTTAGAGTTGGACCAGAGTGCAAATATAAGACATGATGGTGGTCAATCAAAATATCAACTAACCTATGACCTTTAGGTAGCAAGACGGGGTGTTTGTGATCTTCAGAGATATCAGCCTTGTTTATTCTTCCCCCTACTCGAATGAGGCCATCTTTATCCAGATAAGGAGCTAGGCGTCTAATGCGTACAGAGCAAGGTTTATTGGATTTCAAACATGAGATTTCTTCAGAAAAATAT